GGAAGGATAGCACTGGCCTTCCCCTGATCCCATTGACTCACATCAGCCTGCTTTACAAGACATGTAGTTCTATGATGCATATGTCGATTGATGTGGCATGAGATGGGCTTAGGCTGTGGCAGATGGCTGCAAGCTGTTTAGGACGGTTCGGTGCCCATTTCACGGTTCTTAACATTTACTCCCTGGACTACATGATCATTTACTCCTAACTTGCTATTTAGTCGGGCTGCTCGAACAAATTTAATCACGGACTGTATCTATCAGGTAAAAAGTCATCTAAATCATCTAACAGCAAAACTGGGCAAAAGGGCATCACAACTGGGCTCTGAGCCTAGGCGACCTCCGAATTAAAGGATTTCACACATTGTCACACGGGATGTCATAAAGGGCATTTGATGGCATTTGGTTGGGTCCTTGAGGCGGAAGCGAAACCAACAACCAACCGAAGAAACAATTGTCATCAAAAAGGAAAGGCTGTCATGGGATGTCTTTGGTCTTGCCTTAGTGCACGGTTTTGCTGCAAACTTACTCTCACAATTCAAGGCGACCAGGAGCGGAGGATGAATGGGACTCACCACGCCAAAGTCTGAAGCATGTCAACCTATGTCAACCTGTATCTTTTGAGCATTTGAGAGCCTTCAGCTTAGAGCCTTTCAGCATGTACCGTTTGGCGGCAGAGAACCGCAGCTTTCAGGTGCTTTCGCTTTCGCCCATCTCTATCAAGGGCCTTCACAAGAACGAAATGCCTTCAGCCCTGCCTTTGGCCATTTTTTTGAGGCTTCAGTTTCCCGTGGCCGGTGAGCGCAAATCATACGCATGTTGGGGAGCATGCAGAGTTTGCCATCCATTGGCGTCAGATTCACCCAGGCCGGCATGATCCTATTCTCACATCAAATACGCCGGTCCAAGAGCATGAAAATCATCAATCATCAGAAAGTACGAGTAGCGAGTGGCGTGTCTGCAAAGTAGACAGTTTCAAATCCACAGTGCGGCCAGCAACAAAAACGAAGGCCTGCGATTACCTGCACCACGTGTGCTCGCGCTGTCCTTGTCTGCTTGGTGCATTTAGCATACAGTTTATCACAAGCGGAGGATACAAATTTATAATCAGTTTATCATTAAAATAACCTCTGGCACCTGTGCATGCCCTCTGGTACATGTCCTTGGTAACATTATACCTCTCGGACATTCGTCTCATAGTCACGCACGCGTGTGAGACTGGTGCATACGCCGACGAGTATTTCGTGAGCGTATGGACCGTTGCTGCAAAACGGTCATTATACCAAGAAACCATATTGCCATATGGATGGAGTTGGGAAGCGAGTGGCATGTCTGCCAAGTAGACAGTTTCAGGTCCACAGTGAAGCGGCCGACAACAGAAACGAAGGCCTGCGTCTATCTGCAAAACCTGTGTTCGAGCTTTCTTTGTCTGGTTACATGAACCTGAGTGCGCTAAGTACGCTTGGATGTTTATCTGGGTTCCGGCAAGTTCAGGCCTCACAATTTGACACTCTTTCATTTTGTTGATTTTGTGTCAACGAAGAAATCCATGCAGGACATGGAAGTATCTTCAGTCATGCTTTGGCGATGGCTAAATTATATTGTGGTCTCAGCATCAATGTATTTCCAGCGCCTTCTCCACAAACCAATAATGAATGCCAGGCAATAGAAATGACTCGGGCAAAACCTGCGCAGCTTTCACTCAATAAGAAGCAACACGTGAATGTGCCCTCTCATTTCAAACTGTCAATGTGGTTTGCAATAAGGGATGGTTTCATTTTTCCCCAAACTGTGGTCACACTTGGGGCTCTTACGGTCATAGAAAAGCACGGGTTCGGTTAGGGTAGCAGGATACGTCGGCGGCTAAATTCGTCGACCCTCTCGGCGAAAATGTTCCACGAGTTTCCGTTTTAAGCAAGTCTCGCACGAAAACTGGCCGTGGGGAGCTGTCTTCCGGAGGTGCGTTCTTGCTTGCGCGCCGTGCGCTTTTGCGAATTTCGGAAAATGCAAAACGTGAGGGTCTTTGCAGGTACACACATTCTTCGCAAGGGTTGCTCAAAATCAGAGGTGGAATCAAATAGGGAGCCGACGCCACACATAAAATCTAGACAGCCTCATCTGGCTGGTGGGCGAAAAATTAAATGACCGGAGGACCCCACATGTGAAGCCTTCGAAGGAAGAAAGAGGTGTAAGAGAGAGGAGCCGGAGTGAGCGAGCGAGCGAGCGAGTGAGTGAGTGAGTGAGCGAGTGAGTGAGGGAGGGAGTGAATGAGTGAGTGAGGGGAGTGGGTGAGTGAGTGAGCGGATGAGTGGTGAGTGAAGGAGGCAAGTAATTGAGGTGAATGAATTGGGTGAGTTGAATGAGTTAAAATGAAGTGGGTGAGTCGAGCGAGTGAAGTGAGGTGAGTAGGATGAAGGAAGTGAATTAAAGGAGAGTTGAGTGACATGGGTTGAGTGAGATGAGTTATTAAGTTGACAAGATCTCTTTGTCAAATCCCTGTAAAAATCTTTGTTTAAGATCTCTGGGGCTTCCTACCGAGACTTGAAAACAAGCACCGCATCAGACGAAAACGATCCAACATGCACAAAGTACGCAGAGGGTTGCACGAGCGAAATCAAAATGAGCACCGTGCGCAGGCGCGACGCAAAAAAAACAGAGGCGCTAGAGACACCTGACGTCACCGTGCCAATGTGATTTGCGATTTTGCATTTTTTTAACAAAACTGCAGCTGCCACAAAAAAATGACCCCAAGGCATTCGAAGTCCTGCACCTGTCACGCGAAATCATGTCAACATAAGCGATCAAAAAATGACGACCGTCTCACAAAACGAGCGTGTCGAGGTCTCCAAAAGAGCCTTCAATATCACCAAATACTGCGTGTGCCACGTAACTAATGAAGCCAAAAGGGGGTGGCGAAAAATCATGTAATCATGTAGTCCAAGCAACTTCAAATGACTTGATTTCAAAATTGAAAGTGAACATCAGTTGCATGAATTTTCAAGTGGCACCAAATCTTTGGCAAGATTTTGTCAAGTACGTCTGCAGATTCGGTATAGCCCTCAAAGTTAGAGCATGTGAAGTAAACCGTAAGAAAAACGTGAGCGGATTTTCTGAAGAACATCTGAAGCATCAACAGAGCATTAAAAGCGACCACTGAAGGACACTCCAAGGGCACCTTCTGAGCATCTCTGGCTGCGAACACTTCGCCGTCCTCGTGGTTCGACGCTAGGAAACTTCTCCTTTAAACTTGGGTTCCTTTGGACTTCTTGGGATTTTATATGATTTTATATTGTGTTGCATGTTTCGCAGCTACATTGAAGTGAACTAAGGTTCAAGAGCGTTGAAGAAAAGTAACCCTACAAACAACAAGATCAACAAGCAAGTGCTCCTTAGGAAACCTTCAAGGAAACCTTCTCAAAACCGAAACCTGCTCGGAGGAAGCACGGGTTTCGCACTGCAGTGATGTCAACTGGGTTTCGCACTCTCTCGAGATGCATGGCACGAGGGCTCAGGCTTTCCAATACATCCAACAACATTGTCAACGGAAAAAAATCACCACACATATGTAGCAACCGTATTGACACAAACGTATTGACACAAGAGCCCGATGTAGTCCGATACCAGGTGTCACATAATTCACATTCAGATTCTTGAAGCATGTTAAAACTGTTACGTCAGTTTTAATGTCAGGATCTTTGAACTTCGAACTCGTAGGAACTGTGAACCACAAAGCAAGATCGCGCAAACCAATGAGTGTGTTACCGACAAAGAAATATGAATGTAGTTTGCATCCAAAAGTACATTGTGGTGAATGTACTTAGATATGTATGTATGCAATGAGATGTATCAATCCAGTACATTTAGAGGTCTTCCCTCTCGGTCGGAAGCTTCAACCTGCACCAAGAAACTGGTTTTTAAATCCTTGGAAAACCATGAGAAAACCAGGGGAAACAACAGGAAAACCAAGGGAAAATCTGCCCGAAACCATCGGAAAACACAGGAAAACCTCACATTTGCTCTTCAAAAGTGGGAAAACCCATGGTTTCCACCGTATGTTTTTGGCTTAAGGCCAATTCAATGATCAGTGGCGATAGACCCATCATGACCCATCTGTTTTTGGTGCTGTGTAATGTTGAGTCGTTCCTAATTGAAAAAGAACATGAATGGCTCCCAAATTCCATTGGAATATGGATCCTGAATGCTTGCTTCGCTGGGTCCACATCCACCAAACCAATTTGCGAATTGTTTCCTGATCCAATCTCTTGGTAACATCTGTTTCAAATCCAGGGAAAAAGCTAAGGTAAGTTTGCAGTATCATGTTCTTCTATGTCAGAAAGCAATGGTCAGAACTGCCAGAAAAGCGACCCGCAAGTGGTTTTTCTTGCGTTTTCTTTGACGCAGTGTCTCATCACACCAGAGGCGCATCTTTGCCTAGAGGAAAGTGAAAGTCTCCTTGGAGTAAGTCATTGCTGGGCGAGAAAAATGGACTCATATCTCTGAAAAGAGGGTACAACAAAAGACGATCATCGGTTTTTTCTCAGATGATTCAGACTGCAACTTTTGGGCTATGGGTACCTCAATTTTTGCGAAACGATCAGCAGAGTCAATTGAGCGGTCTCAAGTGGCCCATGTCCCAAAATGACAGCTTCGTTGTTTCTAGGCAGATTCAACCATAAAGTCTGGATGAAATGACCGCAATTTGTGCCATGCCCATATCATCCCGGCATAACAAAGGCTCGTTGTGGGGATAGTTGCTCTCTAACATATGTTCCTAGCTCATAATTCATCCACCCTTTGCTCAAATTGTCTCCCAATCTGTAGGTTTGTCCAAAAAATAGTGGCAAATGCCGACAAGACATTGCCACCTTGCCGAAAACTGTGAAAAATTATGAGCAACCATGATTCCCACGATCATCCTTTGGAAAACTGAAGATTTTCTTGGTCGAAATGTATCACAACACGAGACCCAGATCTCCCCGGTTTGTTTCCATCATAGCATCTACCAGGATCTCCACCATCTGCCCTTCTTCCAACTGCTGGATCCGCTGCCGCAAGTCTTGCCACAGCCGCACGGCCAGGCCATGCGTGCTGTCGGGTCGCAAGGTCAGGGAAAAACTCAGTAGAAACGGCACGGCCAAGGCTGAGCGGCTCAGCCTCGGGTCTTTGAAACCATGGCACCATGGGTTTCATTGGAATTTTTTGGGGGGAACATGTTGAACCCGGAGTTTCCATATTGTTTCAAGTTCAGCAGTGAATATGTTCAGGTTCCTTGTTTCATTTCAACCCTCGGACATTCGTCTCAAGTCACGCGAACGTGTGAGACCGGTGCGCACGCCGACGAGTATTTCGTGAGCGTACGGACCTTTTCCGCAAATTAATTAAATGCAGCTGCCCGCGTCGGGGAAAAGCGAATTGGGTCGCAAGTTCCTGCAAGGCCCAAGGGTCCAGACAGCAGATGCGACCAGAATACCTAGCAAATCGGCGCAAATTGCTGGCAGCGAGCAGGGGCGTGCCAGAGAATGCAAACCATCAAAAGTGAAAAATGAAGAGCGGGCCGTGCCGCACGAAGGCAAAACCCAGCAAATGCAATCAATATACGAATTTACTGGCCAACGGCGGTTGCGTTGGACCAGCGCAACGAGGTGGCCTTTCCAACATCAGTGGCTCTCCAGCTTGATCAGGTTCGAACCACGAATTGCAACACATCGATCATTGTGCACACGGACTCCGTACCTGTCATTGGCAGTGCGGCTGGGGATAACGATGCCTTTGACGCCATTCAAGCTGTCATCAGAGAGGCCGGTCAGCAGCACTTGGTCACCAACGCGAATGCATTCATTTGACTTGTCTGCCATTGCAATGCCTTGGCTGTCAGGTAGGACATCGAGGTTGCAAGGGCGGATTGCAACCTGACCACCATTCGACAAAAGCACACCGTAACGGCCAGAACGAAGGCACGTGGTTACTGTACCGGTTTGCCCGTTCATACCGGCCGTCTTGAGGCCTCTCAGAACAACTTGTTCACCAGTAGCATATGCCGACTTTTGGACCCGTGGCAGGACAAGATTGTGGTCGCAAATGTCATGCTTCACAGCTCCCAGGCCGGAAGAATTCCAATCAACCTGCAAATCTTCCAAGCCTGCCTGTTGCGCAAACACCTTCATAGCGTGTTCCAGCAACTCATCATCAAAGCCCCTTTCCTTGGTGCGCACCTCCACCACCCGGGCACGGGAAGGAGTCCGCTTTGTTGTGCGAACATGAGGTTTTCTAGACGAGCTCGAAGCAGATTGCGATATCTGATCTGAAAAGGGCAGGTGACGAGCCAGACAAATCTCCACGCGCGGGCCATCCGCAGGAACGTCACAAGACCCGTGCCCCGCCTGCGGGCGGTCACTGCCGAAAAATCCACAACATGGGCATGGCATGCACTGATGCAGGGCCATTGCGAAATGAAATGGCATCCATGCCTGCCACACAAACCAATGCCATAAGAATGGGTCCGGCACAGGAATCACAACGTAAGGTGAGTCAGCGCGGAGCGCCATGGCAAGGACGAAGGCAGATTGCCACGGAGATACAGCGGGGGAGCCTGAACTGAACAGCAAGACACAAGGGCGCGAACGCAAGGAGCCAACGCCGCCCTGAATCACGGCCGGAACGCCACAGCCGCCAGACGGAAAAGCCACGAACAGCACAAGACCCAAGCACCTGATGTGAGATCACAAAGGAAGGGCACAAGACGAATAAGGGGACAGAAACACCTGAGAGCACAAAAGCCAAGGACCTGAAAGAAAGAGAAACAGGACCTGAAAGCAAAGAGAACACCGGGGTTCAAAACCAAACAAAAGCACTCCTCAAGCTATCTGTCGAAACGGCCCCACCACTGGAAGGTTGCTTGAGCCAAGGGCTGTGTTTCATTTCAACCAAGATCAACCAAGATCAAACATAGGCGATGGAGTGTTCCTGAAATCGGTTTGCACAACATGATTGGCGCCTCAATTCAACATTCGTTTCAGATCCATGTCGACAAGAGGTACTGAAGAATACATTCCTCTCCATCGACTTGGACATGTGTCGCACTAACATGGACGCTGCAAATGGTGTTTTTTTGGATGCCCGATGATCCGATGCCACCATGGACGTGCAAACCACCAAAACTGCAAAAAGTAACAGGACTCACTAACATATTACATCGGTACATTTTCTCAATTTGCAGCGTCTAAGTTGACGGAGGGGAGAGTATGTTTGTTTGTTACATCAAGTATCTCAATTACAAACCGCTTCAGATATTGGACATTCGATATAAGATAGCATACTATTGTTAGGCATTATGCAACATCGCATCGCAAATTGTAGATATACAATAATATTTATTTTTATAGTTACAACCATACACATATACAAATGCATGTACATATACATGCACATGTGCATATACATATACATACACAGACATATATACAAATACAAATGTGTGTCACCTCCATATCGAACATCATCCACTTCGCTGCTGAGCAACCATGCCCATTGGAAGCCGAAGCTCACGGCTGCCAAGGCCAAACACAAAAAACAACAGCACTGGAGCGCATTGACCTGCGAAGTTTCATTGAAAAATCATGGAAAATCCTGGGAATTCCAAATTTGATGGGAAATATATAATGGATTGGAGTCTAATACATTAGAATATTGAAATTGGAGGGTGCCACATGTTCAAATAAAAAGTGCGTGCACGTAGTCTACGTATATATATATAAGAGAGAGAGAGAGAGGTGTATAAATATATATATATGTAGATATAGATATAGATATAGATATACGCACACACATTTCTGCGAGTATGAGGTTGCAGCTAATGGCCTCTCTTCGTTTGATTCTGGGGCGCCTTTGTCACTGTTGACCCGAGATGTTTGGAAAGATTCATTTTATCTATACATCTAAATCTATATATCTTATATATCCTGTGGGAAGGCAGCGGCCCAACACTCAAAAGCTAAGGCCAAGAAACCGCTTCCACCTTTTCAAATGTCTCGTGCCAGACAGCTCACAGCCTGTGAGAAACAGTCCGGAGGGCATGACCCAAATTGACATGCCTCCGATTATATGCGGCCGACGGACTGTTGCCGCCATCTTTGGCAAAGAATGTGACAAGGCGGGTTGATCGAAACCCAAATTGCTCATGATGGTTGGTCAGGTCACGTAAATCGGACGTGCGAAATCGAAACTCACGCACAGCAAAACGCGGGCTCGGGACCTCCGTACGATTTGGCCCCGTGGGCAACATTGACACCATCTTGACGGAAACCCTTCGGGCTCTTGAGGTCAGGAAGGGCCAAGGCAGTCACAAAGCTCTCTGCCAGCTTCACCAACTCCGCCTTGCTCTTCTCGTTGGCCATCCAGTTCTTGTCGGGCTAGATGGGTTTCTTCTCGTAGGGCTCCTTGTTGTTTGGCTATGGGCTTCTTCTTCTTCGGCATCTTCAGCCCGAACATGATCACCTCGTCCTCCATGAAGGCCATCATCATGCCCACTCGAGATCGCAAGGTCTGACAATCCCGAAGATGCACCATTGTCATCTTGCTGGCCGCTTTCTGCAACCATGACTTCGGCCACGTCCGACGCTTCACTGCGTCCATCAGCTGCTGTTTCCAATCCTCCACCTTCGACACCATCGACAAGGGGAAGGGAAGGAATCGGATGTGTGGGTGTTGGATCAACCAGAGCATCAACCCCTGCCAGTGCCATCGTCTCGTCATTTCCAGCCCCAGCGCCATGCGCCGCGATTGCTCCAAAGAACGCAGTAAGGCAACTCGGACGTGCTGGGCTTCCATCATCGTTAAACCAGCTAATGATTGAGATGCAAGGCTCAGGGATGTAGTTCGTAGCGTAGTGCATGTCACAATGTGATCCCCCAGAAGCCTTGAAAACTGCCAACCTCTCCGCCTTCCGTGACATCTTGCCTTCACATTGAACCTCACAAACTTTTCCAACACCAACTGCATCCCATGTCATAGTTGAGAGAGGAGGCCATGAGGACATGTCGGAGGGCAAGAGTTTTAAAGCTGAATGTCCCGCTCGGATTTGAAAGAGAAACAATCATGAATCACTGAGAAAACGTAGCTGCAGCATGTTTGAAACAACATCCAACATTGCTCCCAAAGCCTCATGTCCTTGCCTATGAGGCAACCATGCTGTTGCACGGTATGGAGCAAAACCAAACGAGGACGATCTGACCGGCCAAACTTAAACTCGGAGCCCAACTCTTTTCCTGCTCACCGGCACACCGCCATTTCCGAAACGGAAGTGATCTTGAACATCAGCCACCTTCACCAAGTCCAGGACGTAGGAAGGTGCCTTGGCTAAGGCTGTCATCATCAGATCTCCCCATCTTTCTCCAGCACAAATTCGATTGCACTCAGTTTCAAATGCTGCAACAAATGGCTTGTCGGCATCGAGCTACAGAGCTTGTCGCCAGAGCTTCAGAAAGCCTTTTGCCGGCAAGCCCAACAAGAAGCCTGCTGGTGGAGCTGGAGGCAAGCCTTTGAAGAAGGATAGTGCCTGTTTTGTTTGTGGACTTCCTGGATATTGGCAAGGTGATCCAGAATGCCGTGGCCCTGGGTCTAGGTCTTTATCTGGGTCCCCTCCGAAAAGAAGCAGTTCAAAAACACTCCACAACGTGGTGGGCCTCCGAAAAGAGAAGTGCACACTGCTGAAGTCAATGTGGCGGACCTCATTCCCAACAATGCGGTTATGTTGCCATGGTATCCGCGATTTTGCTTCAAGGCGCTGATTTGGGAACGCACCTCGCGAAGTGCCACCAAAGCTTCAGCGGCATCATCCATTTTCTTCTCCGGACCATTCAGCTCCTCCTCATCACATCCAGAAGCTGCCACCTGATCAAGCTCCGTCGCCACGATTTCAAACGCTGATCGCAGCTGCGAAACTCCTCGTCGATCATCCTCCAGACTACCATTGGGGTCCTGCTCATTCACCGTCTCCATGACTTCTTGACCATCTTGTAGCTCAGCTTCTTCTCCATCGTCAAGTTCATCAGCCTCTGCCACATGCACTGAAGCTGATGAAGAGCCAGGTCTGCTAGAGCCACCACGACGCCAGGACGAGCTTGTTGTCGAAGAGGTCGATGAAGGTGAACTTCTTAGCCAGCACCAGTTGCTCCAACCTCGCCCCCACATTTCGCCTGCACAGGTGTTGGTTGAGTTGTTGCTTGAGTTGTTCCAATATTGTACTTCAACAAATTTTCTCGGACTCCAGTCCCATCCTCTCATCCTCTCAGTGTGACCGACATGAACTCCAGCCAGGAACTGCAGACCAGACTTCGCCGCTTCAATGCAGCTGACCCAGGCCTGGGGCGATGGCGATGGTAACGAGGTAACTGAACAACACTGGGGAAAGCCCCAACAGTTTCCCTTTGCGCAGATGGAACAATTTGACACAGAAATCGAAGGAATGTGGGAAAATTGGTTTAACTGAATGAGAATGCGCGTCCCAAAGTAGTAGGGAACAAACCTGGGGAAAATTCATGAAAACTGCATACCGAAGCTATTTTCCCGGAACAAACCACATTCATTCTGCAAAGCAGTTTGCCTCCCTTTTTTGGGCAAACCCCGCTAATTTTTATTCATGTTTTCTTGACCACGGGCTACATTGGATCGTCGCACCGGTTCAAGCAAAACCAGCATCCGACATCATCCGACAAGATATTTCTATACCGCAGTGTTTCCGCAAGAAAAGGCTTGAAGACCGAAAATCGCGTTTAAATCATTACTCACTGAAGGGCATGTTGTTCAATAATTTTCCGTGAGCACCCGAATTCTCAGGGGGCCGGCCCGTTCGTCTCAAACAGGAATATATAAGGTCGAACACCTTTCGTCACCCTTCTTCTCCTCAGATCAGCTTGTACAGCAAGAAGGCCACTTCCACCAATCACCAGGTTGTGCTCGGTCACGTAGAGGTCGATGTAGTCCGCTGCCACCACCACAGGTCAGGTCGTAGAGGATGAAGTCCAGTAAGGTGGCACGAAGACCAGGTTGTTGTGGAGCCAGCAGCACGCCGGCAGCGGCAAAGGGAAAAGCGCTAACGCAAAAACTGCTCCGCTACCACTGTGAAAAGGCAGCAGCCCAACACCCAAAAGCTAAGGGGCCAGAAACCGCGCCCACCTTTTCTAATGTTTCGTGCCAGGCGGTTCAAGGCCTGTGAGAAACAGTCCAAAGAGCACGACCCAAATTGACAATCTTGTATTTACTATACAATATAAAATATGATCAACAACAGCTCATGTCACCAGTTTGGCCTCCGTTCAACACCGTCCTCGCCTGTGGGTGCAAGAAGGGCTGTACCATGGCGCTGGTTGCAGCCATCGCCATGGTGATGGCGAAGGACAGTTCCAGGGAATCCTCACTGCCAACCACCGACACCAAAGCAACTGCCACGAGTTTCTGGACGATCTCCATGTACAAACTTCGGCACCTGGCTATGTCAACCATGTACGCGGTTTGATGCCACCAAAAAAATCACAGTGTCATATAAATAAATAAATATATAAATAAATATATAAATATATAAATATATTTAAATATATATATATAAATATATAAACAAATAAATATGCAAATATATATGAATGTATATATATACAATATATATGTATATATGTGTGTGTATATATATGCATGTATATGTGTGTACATGCATATATGTATATATGTATATGTGTATATACGTATATATGTATATGTGTATATATGTATATATGTATGTATGTATATGTATTTATGTATATGTATTTATGTATATGTATATGTATATGTAGATATATATGTTTGTATATATGTATATATACATACATATATACGCATGCAGGAGCATAAATATATATATATTATATATATATACATATATATATATATACATAGATATATACATATACACATAAATATCAATATACACATATATACATCGATGTATACACCTATGTATATACATAAAAACATATTTGCAAATAAATATATATATATATATTTACAAATCTATGCACATATAATATATATATATACATATATATATATGTAAATATGTATTTAAATATATACCAGTATATATGTGTATATTGTAAATATATGTATATTGTAAATGTATATATATATATATACATATCTGTATGTGTATATATATATATCACACAGCTGCTGCAATCTTTTCCCGCTTGTGGCAAGTTGTCCCAAGCGCTGATACATCAGCGGTGACAATAGAAAAAGAGGTTGCGACACTCCAGGTACCAGTTGTCCAATGCAGCTGCAACTCACACCAGAATATGTAATGCCTGGAAAAATTGACAACCTCCATCTCTTCATTGCTTTGACTTGTCAACCAAAAAAGAGTGCAACAGCGGTCCAGCAGCATCTGCAAATAGCTTGACTACCGCACGGTCTTCGGGCGGCATTTGAGCTAGGAGTGATTGAGCAGCTACCTCTTGGATGTAATGCTCAACTGTCTTCAATTGGGCCCATCTGCCCCTCCATTGAATCAAGCTAAGGTCCTCACTTTCAAGGTACAACGCTGTTGCACCACTTCCGCGCAACACGGCAGGGGTGGCCCCGCGAGAAGGCATAGAAACTGAAATTCCAAGTCTGCCGAGGACGTGATCCCAACGCCGTCGATAAGCCGACGTGCCACCAGCAAATAAGGATGCATTAGGAGCAAGAGCACCAAACACCTTAGTCACATAAGCAAGGACGCAGGGATCCTCGATCTTGCAGTGTTGCTTTCTGGCAAAACGAGCCGTCTTAGGGTTCCTGATATGCACATAGAATGCAGCTGTCTCATTCAAAGTGTCACCTGGCAGTAAAAGGTCAGACCTGAGAAGGGAAATGAACTCGGCTGGGTGTAACATCCCAAGGAAGCCAATTAAGGTGATCCCCAACCATCTGTACCACTTCCAAATCAGGCATAGGCAGCTAACTGCTCGCATGATTGGAGCAGAAAGAACCGGCCTGCAATGGCCCGGTTCGTACTGCTGCCACTTTCTGTCAACCTGCCAGGCAGAACTGAAAAAGGGCCGCAAATGTGGAAATGTGTCCTGCATGGCTGTAATCGCACTCCGGCCTTGCGCGGCAACGCCGCTGCCGGTTTGTTGCGGATGATGGCCCAGAACTCAATTGCTCGCCCCTCCATGCGAGGAGCTCACCAAGCTGCAGAACTCTGGATCAGCGAGCTGGCCGAAGCGGACGAAGTTTTGCTGGAGTATTTCACTGCCGAGGAGCCGGAGATGCAAGGAGAGGCAGCTTCGCCCGTTCAGTCCAATGTCAGCCCAGAAGTTGTTCAGCAGTTGCAGGCGCGCATTGCCCAACTGGAGACGCAGCAAGCGGCGCCCTCTGGTGGCCTAGCTCGAGTGGTAGACCTGGAGCCACGACCTCATGCGGCCGGAAGGTCAGTGCTGTTTGCGTTCGACCAGGAACTTTGGAGCGCCTTCGCTCCTTAGCCGGACCTCCTCCGGGTCGGCTTGTCCGCACAGAGGCGCTGGCAGACGAGAATCCTGCCCCTCAGCAAGCCTTCGCTCATGCGGAGGCGGAGGTCGAAGCCGAGGACGAGGTATCTCAGGTCCCCAATGCCTCGTCGGATCCTCTGCACCAGCTGTTGGCACTCCAGATGAAGCAAACCGCGGCGTTGATGCAGAAGTTGGCGCCGCCAACCAGAGATCCGGTCACCGCCGCCTTGGGCAGCGAAGGAGGCAGCTCGCAAAGCGGAGTCAAGGGCTGCGTTGCCAGGGATGCCTACCTGCGGACTATGGAAGATGTGAAGGGCACCGGAAGATCCATAGCTTCCAATGCTGCCGTAGATCTGGGCCTCCCGGCCGATCAGGTGAACAGCTGCTTGATGCGAAGCTACGTGGAGAAGCGGATGCCTTTGGGAGATCAGCGACAGCTGACCTACTTGGCTCAGTACACGGCCGTGGCTTGGCAGATGAGTTGCGAAGCAAAGAACGAGTTCTCAATGGGCTTGTTTGCACGTGGTTTGATGATGGTGGAGCAGATCGCCTTGGACAAGGGCCGATGCCAATTCGGCTGGCTCCTAGCTGCCATGCCGGACCCCAATTTGCAAACAATCACTATGAACCGCCGTCGCATAGGGCTGACTCCCTATGCCAAGCTCGCCTCGGCTCCGTGGGTCGCAGGCAACATAGCCTACCTGAAGGATTTGGACTATCTGGAGGGCAGACTGAAGAACACCAAGTCCGCCGACAAGCCGTCCAAGGACGACCCTGCAGACGAAGACGTTCCAAAAGGTCCTCGCAAGCCGTGGGAGCCAAAGAAAGGCCGAGGCAAAGCGAAGGACGAGACGAGCAACTCTGCAGCCCCGTCATGATGCCGGAACTGAAGTCAGGAGTGACTGAATTTTCCTCGTCGCCTCTTTGTGAAGCTGCTGAATTGGTTGATAGCCCCCGGGGGAATGTTTATAGGCCTAGGAGCTCCAGCCCTGCAGCAGCCCAATCTCACTTTTGTCAGGCCTCGAATGTACAGTTTAAGCTGAATGAAGAAATGCCGCAGTTCAGCCCTTCTGACTCACCCGTAAGTTTTTTAAGTTTTTTGGAACGTTTTGTTTTCAGTGCAGAAGCTGTGCATGTAGGCCTGGGTAGATTTTGCAAGCTTTCACTGCAGCCGCCGCACTCCCGCACCGTGCACGGAGCTCCAGCATGCTCCGATTTGTGGCCATGTCCCTTACCAACCTGGGAGTGGACGGGCTCAACACGACTGTCGCCCCGAAGGCGCAAGCTTAGGAAACGTTTGAAGCTTCGTCACTCATTGCTCCAGCTGGTTGTTGCCACCCTCAACTGGGAGACCCTTGGGCACCCCATTAGTCCCCCACCGCAGGCATGCACTGGGTTTGACTTAACTGAAGAGCAGTGGGCGATGATTAATAGGCTCGAACGGCTTGTTGACCACTTTGTACAGGCGGGTCCGATCTCGTCACAAAGCTTGGGACGCAGTTGTGAAAAATTCAGCAACTTGCTGCGCAGGAACTGCCTGGTAACCAGGAAGTGGACCTCGATGAATTAGTTTTTGACCTTGCAAGTAAGTTGGATCCATATTCTTCCAATCCCACTTCCGTGGATCAGCATAATATGGCCTCCAGTTGTGATCTTAATCCACCTAGTCCTTCCCCTTGTCCCCCGGATGCAGGGCGTTCACTTGGTGAGACGCGTATGCCAAAGTCTGTTGCGAAGCCTGTCATTTCCAGCAGAATTAAATGGGAACATAGCCCCAATTTTGATCCCACTCCTTACTTGGTTGATCCCATAGTCAAAGATGCGTTTGTTGACCCCGCTAGAGTCAGATTGCCCTCTCACATGTGGCCTGAACAACCTCAGGGTAGAGTGCATTGTTCCAAACAGGAGCTTTTGGGTCTCGCATGCAAATGGGACCCTAAGGGGGCTTGTCGTATTTTTCGGTTGGATGAAATTAATTGGGATGAAGCTGTTGGTTTGTTTGCAGTGCCAAAAGATGATCAGTACGATCGGTTGATCCTCAATCCCCAAACTGTGAATAGCCGGATGCAGTCCTTTTCGCATTACACAAAACAACTTGCGCCAGGGTCCATGTTTTCACTCATACACCTCAAACCAGGGTGTAGGCTTCGGATATCCGCAGATGATCTTGCAGAGATGTATTACACTGTCAGGGTTCCAACAGCCAGAGCAAAAAGGAACTGCATTGGTAAGTTGTTTGATGCAGCTGAGTTGAGACATGTGTCTTGTTTTGACTCTTCAAAGCACGACAGTATGGACCATGCGTCCTTGCGTTGAGCGCCCTGGCAATGGGCGACGGCGACAGCTGGGCAGTTGAGATAGCGCAACAAGCGCACTGCAACGTGCTGAGATTCTTAGCCGGCAGCATGCTGGACAGCGAGCGGGTGTGTTACCGCCATCCTTTTCCCAGATCTGATTTCATGGAATGGCTTTCAATTGACGATCATATTGGCATTCGGGTTGTAACTGAAAATCAGTTTCGTAACCGGGTCCCCCTGCGTGATACTGCTGTATTTCTAGGAGCTGAAAGGGCTTACCAAGCTGTTAAGCTTGTGCAACACCCCAAAAAGAAGCAGCGGGAAGTATCTCAGGGTGTTTTTCTCGGGGCTGAAGTTGATGGGAAAATAGGGTTCGTTTCGGCACCACGCCACCGTATTTCAGTTTTGATGATGTGCACAGCCCTTGTCGCCAGACGAGGAACAGCCAGCCGCGGGCTTCTTGCGAGTTTGCTCGGCTGCTGGATTCATGTGCTGATGTTTCGTAGAGCTGTTTTGGCGGTGGTCTCTCACGCCTTCACCGATGGCATTGAGCGGCGGCAGAACCAAATTTTCTCCCTGAGTAGAGAGACTCGGAATGAACTGTTGGCTCTCAGTTGTTTGGGACCGGTTTGCATGAGTGATTTGCGTGTTGGTTATGCACCCTTCATTTTTTGCACGGATGCCAGCCCTGACGGAGCAGGCATATGCCAGTCACCCGAAAGTGAGTCAGTAGTTCAAGAGTTGTGGCGTCACAGTGAACAGCGGGGTTACTATACCCAGTTGCTTACTCCAGCTGCCAGTGTGCTATCATCCTTAGGTGAATCTTTTGAGGAACCCATCCCTTCCATTCTGCCTTCCGACCGGGAAGATGTTGTCCTTAAGATACCTTGTTCACTTTCGGAAGGCATTCTGTTCGACTGCATTGAGTTGTTCCGAGGCGAGGGCAACTGGTCATTGGCTCACGAAGCCGCTGGTTTTCGCGTTCATGATGGCTTTGATGTTGATGGTCGCAGAATGCAGTTTGGTGACTTGTTGGATGATAGCACTTTTCATCAAGCAGCCAGCTTGGCTGCGCGGGGTGTCATTTCAGACTGGCATGCAGGAACACCTTGTAAAACATATGGGACTCTTAGAAGACCGGCATTAAGATCAAGGCAGCAACCTGCTGGTTTCAACATGTGGGATCAGTTGACACGTGAGCACACTTTGCTGGCCCTCAGGACCGCCTTCCTGATGAACCTAGTGATGCTGGCTGGTGGTTTCTTCAGCGTAGAACAGCCTCGCTCGTCTGTCATGTTTTACCTGGATGTGTTTCAACGGATGGTGTCTCGTGGATGCATCATAACCCACTTGTGTTTTTGTGCTTATGGTTCCCCTTTCAAAAAGCCATCTAAATGGCTACATAATAAACCTTGGATGCTTGGACTTGAACAATCCTGTAGGTGCGGTTCTTCGGTGGATCATTTTGTAATTGAAGGCACTTTCACTCATGCTTCAGTTGCTGATTTTGCGGCGCGATGCCGCCCCTCTCCCGATGAGGTTTACGGCCGCTGGCCAAAAGTTGGCGAACATGTTTCTGCATTCTCAGCCTCGTACCCGAAGCTGCTGTGCGCTCGAATTGCATCGGGAGCTATTGCTGCTCGTCATGATTCCGCTCCGATTGTTCCAATTGCAGCCAAAGTTTTGTCCTTTCGCAGAATTGGCATTCGTCCCGATCTGCCTAGAAACCTATATCCAACCTTCCGGCAGCAGATCCCAGACCTTTTCATGAGGATCCTGAATGGATCGAAGAACTTGCGGATTCCTTGCCGTTTAAAGAGTTGCTGAGGTACCGTTTCAAGAAACGAAACCATATAAATGTTCTTGAATGCCGGGTTCATAAAACCCTCCGAAAGCATTTCGCTAAATACCACCCCAATAGCAGAATCCTAAGTTTACTTGATTCCCGTGTCACTCTAGGAGCTACTTCAAAAGGCAGGTCCAGTAGCCGGGCTATCTGCAGAGTTTTGCAAGGTTCCTTAGGTTATGTTTTGGGCGGGTGCCTTTACCCTGGGGGATTTCACGTTGCATCCGGTAAGAACAGAAGCGACGCACCGTCGCGTAACCGTCCTGTGCCTGCACCAACCAAGGAAATTCCAACCTGGCTTTCTGACCTCCGCTCCGGCGGCTTTGATCGATTTGACAGAATCCTGGAGTCTGCAAAGTGGACGAAGTTGGCAGCCAGATGGTTGCGTTTCCTTTTGCTTTTGGCTGGGGATATTGAGCGCAATCCCGGACCTGGTTTTCAACCAAAGCCTCGACCCCTGGAGGCCAGCTGTCCATGGATGTGGGTTTTGCTACGGCGACGTCCAAGCGCATGCAGTATGTTTGGATGAGTTTGCCAACTGGTTATTTGCCGAGTTTGCACTGACCTTGCAAAGCATTGGATGGGATTACACAGCTGGTCCGCTCGCCTTGCGAGCTTGTGGATTGCACCTTTTTGGCATGTCCACCAACACCATCTGTCCTGAACCAAACCTTCTTCCTCGAGCATCTTCCAGAGGAACATCTACTTCCTTTTGGACCACCAAACTGTCTCCATTGCCATCCACTAACTGCTCCAGAAGAGCGAAGACTTCTTCCAAAGCAGGTAGCAAAACCATGAAACCTGAAACACGACATCGAACTAGGTGAGCCAGGACACGCACTTCGGCGCCTTCCAAACTTCCTACCAAAACTGCAGTGGGCAAAATGCGAGAGGTGCCCACCTGTCGGATCTTCTCACAGATATCCTCAAAACTCAAGGGGCTAGCGTCAGCTCTGGCGGCCATCGTCGAAACTGGCAACCCCGCAAAAACACTTCGCCCTCAATCAGAGCGGGAAAGCCGTGAGACCCGCTACCCTCCTCCAGTGAATCACCTTGGATCAGCTGGTCGTGATAGATTTGAAAATCTCTGGTGTAAAAACCACCGGGAAACTGGCGGCACCTCGCAACAATGTACACAGTGTTCTTGATGCGCCTGTTGAAGCCAGGGGAGATCACTTGCTTGTCAAACAAACCTTGGAGGACACGATGCGCTGCAAGACCAGCGCGATAGGCACGAGCTAGCCGAGCCCGTGGAGTCCAAACCAGATCTGCGTGCAGCAAATCACGATGAGAGCAAAATTGATCCAAATAAGGTGGTAGAGCTTGATCCAATTCAGCAGCTGAGGTGGTGTGAAACAATTGGAATACAAAATCCTCCGAATGTTCAATCACAGCCCACTCAACCACGGGAGATGCAGAATCAGACCAAAACTCGACACCAGCAACCACTCGACCTGCGATCAGATCAGAGGGAAGTGCAGGGCCTGCGACGACCGGAACAACCGGAAGCTCAGGAGGCAGTGCAGGTTCAACAGCACCAGCAGTGTTCAGGTCAGGTTCGGGCTCCCCGGGAGGCCCGGGCACACTTGTTTGGAAAAGGGTGGTCACAAAGTCGTACACAGAGACAAGGATCTCACTCATGCACTGTGATATTCCCTGAACCTAGAGCGGAGTTCCACTCGCCCCCTGGCAGCTGGCAGTTCGTACCAAATAGCGCAGGCTGAAGTCACACAATGCCAAATCCAGATGCGGCACTTGGAGGACAGCAGGCAAGCTGACACAAGTGCCCCGCAGCAAAAACAAAAGGCACCGATAAATATGGCTCCAAGCAAAATGCCAGACAGAGAACAACTAGACTGACTAGGGGGAAACCACCAGCGGAGCTCTCTAATAGCTTCGAGTGCCGAGGCCCAAAGGACCGCACTCATGAGCCAAAGGAACTGAGCTGTAGGCCACAGCTATGATTCCACCTGACAAGTGATGAGCACATATAGGTGTGTTATACGTGCATATATTTTTATATGTATGTATATTTATGTATATGTATGTTATGTATATGTGTGTATATGTATTTATGTGTATATGTTTTTCTGTATGTATAGAGATTTTTGTGTGTATATATATACATACATACATATGATTATATATGAATGTATATGTATAAGTATTGACCATCACATTGATTTCGGTATTTTTTGACAAAAGAACTGCAAGCCAAATCATAACGCCGCCTCTGCAACCTCAACAAACTCATGATGAAATTGCTTCACACCCAACTTCCCCATTTGTATTTTCAGGTTTCAGCTTGGGTTGTGGCCATAATCCCAAGGAGACTGATAAACCTATAAAACGGTTAAGCAACGCGGCACAAGCTTTGTTTTCCTGAGCCGCAACGCTATAGTAATGCATGCTATAATACATTGTGTTTTGGGTGGGGTGCAATTACACCATTGCTTTGGCAAATTCAGTAAACCATAGTAAAAACCAGTTGAACCACCATTAAAAAAAAGAGAAAACAAGGTTTTAAAGCGGCCAAAACTTGGATATGTCTGGTAAGTTTGCCAGTTTGCCCTGTCTTCCGTCCCGTGGCGATTGACAGCCATTTTCGGGTCAAGTCATTTAGATTTAGATCCCTGTTTGGACCCGCAAACGGCTTATCATCTTTCCACAGTTCATCTATTAGAATCTATTGATCTATTACCACTTTGAGGGTCCCTGGGTCCCTTTTTTGTTTCGCACATACCGCACCCCACCTGGCATACTTCAACAGCAAGTTCTTCGAACCTGCTGGGATGGTCTCAAAGTGATGAAGAAAAGTCATTGAAGTCCCCCAATTCCATTGACACAGGACAAACATGGACAAACTACAGGAAAACCATGGGGATTTACATGGAATCTACATGGGATAAACCATGGGTCATGGGATAAAATCCCCTCAAAAATGTAACAAGGATTGAAAAGGATGTTTTTCTCAAGGCCGACCTGCCAAAATCCGCTCAGAGCCTTCTGCCTCTTCCAGGATGCATCGCTCCATTAGCATCTCTGCTATGGCGCGACACTTCAGTGAAGTACCAACTGCTCCGGTGTCCATCTTCACTAAGCTCAACACATCTCCCAACTCAGCTTGACTCGATTGGCCTCTGACAGTCATGGGACTGAAAATTTTGTCAACATGGCTCAAAAAAGACGAAGAAATGGAAGCGACATGAACCCAAAAATTGTCTGCGATCTTTGATATCCGTGGATATCCATTCAAATTGAGCTGATTCAAACCAAAAGCTGAGCAAAACAAGTAGACCGGCCTGGAGCCTTGACAACGACAACCCCATCTTTCAGCTGCACGTTGACACGTCCCCGCATCAGCACAGAGATGTAGGCAGCTGATGCTGCTACCAGGCGGCGCGTGAGAGCTCTCTCTTTCAGGGAGGTCTTGTCCTCGGTCGAGGAAAGCAAAAATGTTAGGGCATCACCATCCCAAATTGGAGTGATCCACCAAAATGATCAACATGTGTACTTTGATAATCCGTAGCATTGTTACGACCCACGTATACTGAGATTGAAAGGTACCCCAGCATGGGGACTCACTAAACCGCTAAGCATGACATAAACTATGTAACTATGGCTATATGCAAACCATTGTGAACGTTCTTCCCATGATTGTCATGATTCTTGTTGTTCTGACATGTTCTTACTGCTTTTGCTACTCTTATCCAGGTATGGTAATATGCGCATGGGTCGTTTTAAACACTGGAAAATTCCTGGCTTCTGGACCTCAAAAAACGCTGCCGGTTCATCAGCAAGTGGCCCACGAAGAGCCTTTGAGTTCCACTAGTCTCACCTCCAATGCCTCCTGATGTACTGCAGCAGCCACGGTTGCTCTGCCAGGTCGGAGCACCGCATGTTGCTTGGCGTACAGATAGACCAGGCAGAATGGAATCACCAAGCCGTAGCAAACGGCGCTGGCATACCCAACGACATCCACAAATTGTAAGGACTCGTCATGGCAAAAAAGGTGAGGCAGCCATTTCCGAAAGGCCAACCTCAGTTTCTGAAGGAAATCGACTGTGCCTTTTTTCCCGGCGAAAACAACGTCGAAAGACTTGGATTCGTCCACACACAGGGGATATCCCAATCTCTGGCCATCAAATGATGGGGAATATGATTTTCTCAACCATGAGACGGACTAGGGGTTTCCCAAACTTCTCAAACAAACCCAAATGTTGTTTCTTAAAAAACATGTGCCATGAATTTTGCTGGTTCAACCCCAGTGAAAAATCGTTGTGATTGTTTGATATACTCATATATACAATCATGTTCAGAAGCACAATCCCCATGAAATCCCACCTTTTGCGTTCAAGAACTCTTTTGGAAGGCGGCCTCCTTCTCCATCCACGCTCTGGCAACGCAAGAGCTTCGAAGCACTGGACGCTCCACCAATGTACAGTAAAGCAACCGCCTACAATCGCAGTGCATTGGCATGGGAAATACTGGTCATTTTGACATATGGAAGCCATGACCCATTAGCTAGTTCGATTACCAGATATGATGACTAACCTCTGCTAAATTGTCACATGGTTAGCTCGAAAATCCCATTTCTTATGCAAAAATATATTCATGGAGATTCCAGCCCCCCAAAACCTTGCTAAAGCAAGAGGGACTTCAGCTAGCAGAAGCTAGCGGCTTTCGTGATATCATTGTATATAGTATTTAATTTATGTGTATTTATGCAATGTAAATAGCACATGCTTCCAACATGAGTCTATCAGTTCCCTTGTGTTTACATATTTCTCCAACCACCCCAAGATTGCCGAGCTGAAATTCCAGGGTGACATTACAACCTGAGCATTCAACCGATGCCCTGCCTGCAACCCCGCACTGATGCCGGATCCACGGGCAAAAACTTCGACCACAAGGCAACACATCAACACCAAGAGCGGAGCCATGGGTGCCATCAACGCACACGCCAGCCGCACAGTGACACCCTGAAATCTGCATTGCAAATTCAAGCCATCTTTGAAGCTTTCCAAGGAGAATTGAAGAGCCTTAGGGGATGATCTTTCGTTTCCTGCTGCTTGTGGTGCTAACACTGTTCAACGAGTTCAACTGCACTTAACCACTTTAACACCTTGAACCCACCGAGCCTCAACATAGGGTATTTCCCAGAAGGGTGAAGCCTTTGCGTCTGTCGTGCTACCATCTTGCCCATCTTTGGAAAGGAGGGCAAGCACTGCCCATAGCTGACACATCTGCAGCAGGATTGGCCCCTGACCTTTCAACTGTTCCTTGATTGCATCCTTGGCCGAAAATTTGGGCTCCGTGGCTTCAACATTCCTGGCAGATTGCATCCACACATATGCTAGACCTGCAAGCAGCACCGCGATGATCGACACAGTCAAGTACCAAATCTCTGGACGTTCTGGACGCATCCAACCATCGCTGCGGCATGCTTTGCAAAGCCCGTCAGTAGCAAAGAAGTGCTCTGCGCAATCTGAGCAAAGAATGCCTTGATAGCCGTTAGCACATTGGTTTGCAGAGCCTGCAGAGCTGTTGCACCTGGTCTCTCTGGGTGGCAAACAAGGTAAGGCCAACTTGTCATTTGCCATCAGCCGCGCAAAGCCCAACTTCGGCAAAGCAGATCGAAGTTCCATCCCTGACGTGGGACATGCCAAATTCCAGTTATGGCATGGCACATAGCTTTTCTGGTCAGATGCATAGCCTTGGATTTGCACAAAAGGGAACCCAAAAAAAACATAAAACATATTCCCAATCGAGTGCCCCAGTTCTGGTTGCATTTACCCGAATGTAGGTACATTATATATGTACATAGTTGATTAATTATATTATATATATATAGTGTGTATATACAGTATATATATATTATATTACAGTATGTAAAAGAAAAACAACCTCAGCAAAGCCCAAGTAGCCTTCTTCACATCCACATGTCATCCCCTCCGGCGCCTCCAAGAGCTCACCAAATGCGCAGCGACAGCTGGTGCCAGCTGCTTCAGCCCGACTTCCTTCCGGACACTTTTGGCAGTTGCCGCTGTAGTCACTGCTGAAGGTGTTATTCGCACACCTGGGCAACGGTCAGAACTTACCCTCCCGATTTTGTTCAGGGAATCACTGGGATATGCTAAACCATGGGATGGTAAAACCATGGGATGGAATGGGATATGCTGCTGTCAAACAAACCTCCGATGCTGGTTTGTTTGGTTCGAATTTCCATCATGGAGAATAAATCATAATCCCCAATAGACCAGCTAGTACAATATTACAACACCACAACTAGCCAGCAACTGCTCATTCTTTTTGGATCAGAAATATCCTTTGCCAATGGTGGTTGCAACCCCAAATGATTACATAATCCCATCGCATTATCAACCTCCAGGGTTTTGAGCAGTGTCAAAAACCCATTGAAAAATGACTGGTTAGTGGCAATGGGAATTCCCAGCGCGATAATCCCTGGGGAAAAAAAAAAGTTATATTGTATGACCTCCTACAATCATCAGCCAACCACTGTGTATCAATTCTATCATATTCATTTATTATATTAATATCCTAACATGTTTGATGGCTAAAACCACCATTCTGCTAATTGTGGTTGAATCCGCATTCAATAACTAATCAACCAGGGTAAATGAAACTACTCCTTTCTTATCTTCCCATGTTTCACGGTTGGTTGCTGTACATCCCATCATCCCCCTCTATATCCCCATTATATCCACATTGTGGTTGGTCTCGTACCCCCATTGTGATAAACCATCATCACCATAATCCAACCATCACTTCTGGATTATAAGACTATATCTAATAGATGACAGTAAATCTGATTTCACGCGCTGTACATCACTAGTGGTTACACTCCGCGATAACCACCAACCTCCCGGGAGGTGTAACTTGGTAACCCCACCTAGTGCAGTTGGCGCCCGTGCCCGCCCATCCCGGCGCACAGCTGCACAGCTCCTCCGGCAGAAAGTCTTCAGGCGTGATCTGCAAAGACTTGGTGCTCAGATCATGGCAAGCATAGCCACCTGCGATGCCTCGGAAAATTCCAATGGATTACTGGTGGTTGAGCCACCTACCCCTCTGAAAAATATGAGTTGGGATGATGACATTTCCAACTGAATGGAAAAAATAAAAGCCGTGTTCCAAACTTCCAAACCAGAAAAACCAGATTATCATGTTCCCTATTAAAGTTGCAAGTTGGTGGTATACCCTCATCCATATACCCCATTTCCAGAGAACCCCTGGGCATCCTGTGAATCCGAAAAACCTGGGAAAAAATGTGGGAATACCGGAATACCACCTGGAAATCAAAAATTATAAAGCCATCTTTAAACATTCACAACAACATGGGATAGATAACGATTATCTCGTATCATTTCTTGGGTGGTTTCAATCCATCCCATTCGTCCCATATCCAAGTTAGTCAGTTCTGCAGATGGAATCCTGACTAAACAGAGAAATGGTGATTTCCATACATGGAGGTACCCCTAAATCATCCACTTTAATAGGGTTTTCCCTTATAAACCATCCAGCGATAAAGGAGTATCCGGGTATCCCCCATTTGTGGAAACCCCCTTTTTGTGAATGTTATTTCACCATCGAAATGCTCATGGAGGCTGTAGGCGATTCTACCAAGATGTTGGCTTCCAACAGCTCTTTTGCTTCCTCGGCGGATGATTGGGATGGGGAAAATGCCACCGCCGTCCTCTGAATTTTGTGACGCTAAAAAAAGGCTTAAGGAATTGACAAAAAAAACTCCCAATGGGTCTTCAAAAAATGTCCAACAGAATCCACTGACGAATCATCTTCCCATCAGTTTGGGCCAATGGTGCCAATTACAAGGTTCAATGGATCGGTTTAAGGGAGGTGTGTTCCAGAAAACCATGGTTTTTTTCACCGGTAGAAATCGTCTACAGGGTCCTGTCAATCTTCCGTTTGACTTAGATCAATCTGGGATGATTGGCGAAAGCACATGGCGAGCTTCTAAAGAGTTCGTGAGTCTTACATGCTGCAAGTCTAGGAAAGTGCCCGCAACAATAGCACTGCGAAGAACGCCATGCCGCAAGTCAACCTCGGGGTTTCCTGCCAATATCAGTGACTGTATGTTTTGTGGAATCTGGTCCACACCGGAGAGTTGATTTGAAGCAAGGTCCAATGTTTGCAAAGACGCTGCGAGCGCCGGGTGCCAGATCGACCAATGATCGTGATCCAGCCACACATCTTGAAACAAAAGGCTGGGGAGTCTTCCGGTGAGCCCGCAGCCAGCGGCCCGAATGCTGGCCAGAGCTAAACACATACCCAAGGGTCCCAGAAGGTCCATCAAGTTGCCATTCAACGGAGATCCACTCAACTCCAAGATGATCAGCTTGGGTAAGAGGAGATTTTCCGGAAATCGGTTGGAAAAGAACTGATGTTTCAGGTCCAAAAGACCTTCACCTGGCCAGAAGTCAAGCGTATCGACCTCCCCAAACTGGACGGAAGTTATTTCTTCATATTTGTTTAATGGTCTAAGACTTGAAAAAGGACCACTCAAAATTCTGCTTCCAAACAGCTCCACTGGCACCATCCCCCTCCCGGCCTGTCGGAATGAAGGCCAGTCGTTTACAGTTCGTCAACTTCAGAATCCGAAGCTCTGGAACTTGACCCCGCCATGCACGGCCCAAACGGCCGGACATCTGGGTGCCCGACAGGTCCACCTCTTCCAGTTGTTTCCACTGAAAGAGCGCCGAAATGTCACCACTCACATTGGTACCAGCAAGGTCAATCTCCTTGGACGCTGGCCCCCTTTTGAGGTAAAAAGATGGTAAAAGCACCTATTTTCTGCCAAAAGGGGCTATGATTCACCTATATTATCCATATTTACCCGTAAGATCCCAGTTGGAGCAACATGGTCAGCAACCCTGTCCTTGAGTTCCTTGCTTTTCAGAGCCATCCGTAAGTTGCCGGTCACTTTGGTGTTGGTCAGTTTCAGCTGCACCAGCTCGGTCCAAATGATCTTGGACAGGTCACCTGTGACCAAGGTGTTTTCCGCATGAAAAGTGAACAAAGTCTTCCTCAAGTGTTGAAGATCAGCCAGTTCACCCGTCACCTTCGTGTCCGCGAGGACCAAATCCTGCAGCCATTCGTGCTGCTGCAAACTTTTGAGGTCGCCTGTGATGGATGTGGATCCGAGGTAGAGCTTTCGGATTTGAGTCGCTTTCTGAAGATTCAACAGGTCACCGGTGACTTCGGTGCTGTCCAAATATAATTCCAGCAACTGAGTCAAGGGTTTCAGGCTTGAGATGTCACCGCTGATCTTTGCCCCTTGCAGGTTGAGGAATTGCAGCTTCGTTAATCTCTGTAGGCTCGAAAGGTTGCCAGCCACCTTGGTGAACCTCAAATCCAGGTGGTGTAAACGCTGGAGCTCTCCGATCCTGTCGTCCAAGGTGCCGGACAATGTGGCGTCTGTCAAACGAATCTTCCAGACATAGCATCCGACCCTTGGTTGGGAAATCTGGCCCCTAATAGGCTAGCCCAGGATCCAATGGTTCCCAAGGGTATCATAATCATCTTCCCCAGGAAGAAACCATTTTTCTCGCGGTATTCCCATGCAATGCACATGCTTGGGGCACCCCGAGCTTTCTGCGAAAAAAAACTGCCTGCGAAAATGAAGCCCAAAGCTCGGAGCTTTGGAAATTTATGGTCATCAAAAGGTAGGAATATGTGGGAATATGTGGGAATCATGATTAACCAATATATGGATTAACCACTGGATGGAAAGGAGACCCAATTATTGGACAAAGCCAATTCAAGAGTGTGCTGTTCTTGTTCCATTCCAATCGCAAACAGGAATCCTTCCTGACCCATTTTGACAGAATGGCCACTACAAGTATTGAGCAAGCCAACTGACATCGAAACTGCCAGAACACGCAATAGGGCTGTCGAAATTGATAGAGAGATTTCATGGCATGCCAAGATTCTTATGACTACAAATCAGATTCCTGGAGCAACATACCCAAGTTCCATCAATGTCACTATAGATACAGATGTGGGAATGGATCAAAACCCTAGCACCCTGCCGGTCATAGATGTTTGTCCCCACTTAAAAGGGAAAATCATACAGGTCCATGAAAAATAATCATCATCATCAATAATAGTCAATAATAATAGTAATAATAAATAGTAATAATGACAATAATAATAATGAATAATGAATAATGAACAAGAATATTTTCCTTGTCTCATCCCCAAGTCAAAAAAAAACTGCCTGACTTCATTCAAAATTGAGCTTCCAGCGAATTTTTCCGCCCAATTTGGGATCACTCAGCTGATGGACCCCCAGTTTCTCCAAGATCAGTCTGAGGCTGGACCACTCGCTGCACTTCGATTTGTCGGACGGTTGGGACCGCCGCTGGGACCGCTGGGATCGTTGGGAGGTCTCGGCCAGTGACGTGGGAGACCCAGAAGACTCACTGCCTCGATGAAATAGATGTGTTACATCCAACTTTTGGGGCTTGTTTTTTGAGAACATGCCACAACCAGAATCAATCAGATATATGATACGTTGATCATCTTTGACTCTTTGACATACTTGTCAGTGCTGCCCTCGGACAAAGAAGAAAAAAACAGTTTGCTGGGAGCCAAGCAGCTCCGGGATACTGAGACATCAAGTTCCAACGTGTTCTGGTTCACCTTTGCTCGTTCTGCGACCGCGATTGGGTTGAAATGGCTGAAGCAGATGAAGCCGAACCAGTAGAGATTGCTATGAATCATCATGGATTTGGCGGACCCGCTGGCCTTTTGGCCTTGAGCCAAGGGAAGTTCTGTCATGTTGCAGAAGACAAAACAGCCTCTATTTGATCCCTGGACTCATGTTTTCAATGTTGGATCTCCTTTTGATGTGTTCTGTATGTTCAATTTTGGGTTGAAACAGGACACACTTCCACCCGAAGACTGCTGCTGACAAAAGATCCAAACAGCTCAATATAGCCAGAGTTGTCACTCCGCCAGTACATTGCGTCAGATCTGAGATTGGAGATCACTTCCCCAATAATATTTATCTCAATATTATTCATATGGATCAAAAGGACTCACTCAACATTGGTAGGCTGAATGCTCAAAATGATCAAAAACGATCTAGTCACGTAGGTCATCCTGGATCCAAAAATCTTTGACCGGGATTCCGGGCCAGTTTTTCCTCCTGCGGTGTCTGGCCAAGGAAGGGTACCTGTTAAAAACAGGGCACGAGGTGACGCATTCAACTTCCTGGGTAAAGGTTGGGCAAGTCACCCCAGTTAAGCCGCATTCGTGGTCAATAAAGATCTCATTCTTGCGGGAAGTCACTGTCTGCCCAGCGCAACATGTCTTGCCGCATGGTGGTATCCCGTTGCCATCTCGAAAAAACCTCCGGGATTGAAGAAGCTTCACCGAAGAGTCTGAAAAAAGTTGGAGTTTCCAACCTGTATCTTCAAAAGCAACCAGAAATATCCAGAAATGATGCTATGGTGATGTATGGCGCCAGTGACTTCTTTGCGACATCGGGGTCCAAACTTTCGGGACTTTCGGGATTCTGACATATCCCAAATGCACCACAGCCATCCACAGCCCATGTTGAATAATTTCACCATCTGCCACACCTGCTGTGCACAAATGTCGATAACACGCAACATGGCCAGCACAGTGACAAGTTGCTGCTGTGATGTCTGCTGGGGGTCAAGGCAAGCAATATATCATCAAAGATGTTTTTGCACGGTTCATCGCGACAGGATAAAACGTCACCTCCGCCGTTGCTAGGAAGGTCGCCATTGCCCATGGCTGTCACACAGCTGAAGCGCCAGCCCATGACAAGTTCCACACCACCCAAGCGACTTCAGCGGCCATCTTTCTGCAGGAATATGAATTTGAAACGGAAGCCAGCTCAGCTTCTTCTGCCTGCAGAAAAAGAGCGAGAAGCTTGAACATGTTGCATTCAGGATCTCGATGTTTCACTTTCGCCATCTGGCGTATTGTGTCTCGTTTCTTTTTGCTCAGCTGGAACGACAGACATCGAAAGTGCCCCGAGACTCTTCACCCTCCGGCAACCACGGGAACCGGGAGCAGTTTCAATGTCCTTTGCGACGCTCATAAGAAGAAAGCAAGTGCACTTGAAAACTTTGATTGTGGCCACACGCTGTATCAATGCCTATTGCAATACCCTTTTGCTGTACGTAGTTGGCTTTGACAACGATGAAACTCCAGCAAAGCGTTCTGTACTCCGCCACTTTGCAACACAACTTTTCGACTGATCCAACCAAAGACTGTCTGCAAAACCAGTGCCCTTGCTTCGGCTGCAATGGTTCGTTTTTCTGCCGGCGGAAGAACTTGAAATCCCTCCGCAATCGGCTGAAGTGGACTTCGGGGCAATTTCGAATTCTTCCGCCTGCAAAACAGGAGCGAAGCATCAAAGATGTTGCATTCAGAATCTCGATGTTTCACTTTCACGACCTGGCAATATCTGGCATATTAAAGTTTCCGGCCTTTTTTTGTTTGGCTGCCACGATGGGAGATTTGAGATTTAGCAGAATGTCTTTAAGGGTTTGTGAACGAAAGCTAGGTGAGAAAGGGTGGGAGGAGAGGGGATACGCAAAGCCATCGAAGCAGTAATGCGAGGCGAGACGCGAAAGGGGAACGTGGAGGGAGGGGAGAGGCAAACGGAGTGAAGAGGAGTGAAGTGGAGTGACTTGCGTAAAGTGAGTTGGTTGGGGTGACCTGGGCTAGGTGGAATGAGTTGAGCGGAGTGGGTTGATGGAAGTCAGGTGAGGTGAGTCGGGCATCAAGGTTACACATCGGGCTGAAAGGAAGGGAGGGAGGAAGGGAGGGGCACTAGCTTTCATATCAAGACTTTGTTCAAACCCGCAAAATATTTATGGTACGTGACTGATCCAAACAAGACCTTCTCAACCCACTCTCTCATCCTCTCTCTCTCCCTTCCTCTCTCCCCCTGTCCCCTCCCCCTCTCCCCCTCTCCCTCTCTCTCTCTCTCTCACTCTCACTCTCACTCTCTCTCTGTGCCTCCCGCCTCGTCTGGGTCCATGGGCTGCCATGGCCGCAAGGCTCGCCCAGCTGGGCTTGTCCTCCTCCGCCCCTCTTGGAAGAGCTGCTCGTGGCGCAGCTTCTGCAAAGCCTGCTGCTTCCCGTCCAGCATCCGCGGTGTGAGGATGCTGGGGTCGTCCCGCACTCACACACAGGCGGGAAACTTCCTCCCCTACATGGACTTGGCCGTGTTGGAGTCGGTGGCTCATACAAAAAAAGAGAGCAAAGGTTGGGAAGGCGCCTATTGTTCTGAAGATGAGCCAAAGTGTCTCCAGGCAATATCATCCAAACCCATAGCCCAAGCCCGTGTTTGCTGGGTTTTGAAATTCCGCAAGCTATCCGCAGCATCAAAAAAACAGAGAACGTGCCGTCAACTTGCAGCAACTTGCCAGCTTGCAGCTCAGAACAACCTCTGCCAAGAATTGCTGGGGCCAAGTTGCCCATCCCTACCTGGACATCTGTCCCACATCAGTGGAAGAACCTGGCGATGATGCAAGCACACCAGGCACAACATGTGTTCCACGCTGCAGGATACCACTGGGTACCACAGGGTGTTTTATCCATTGGGAACCCAGTTCTCAGGTCTGGCACCTCCATTTGGGATGGTGAAAGGTAAGAAGTAAACCCCTGGGGATGGATCAGATTTGACATGTTCCTGTCAAGAATATAACGCCACCATAGGCTTCCACGCTCCCAACTGCATCCCATTCTTGCTCCCCGCTAATCTCAGGGGCCTTGAACTTGACACGTCTCGACATTGAAACCCACAGTTGGCGTTGTGAAAGTCCTGGGCCCAGGAAGAAAGGTGTAATTTAAGGAAGATGTTGAAACACTTGTGCCACGACGGAATGAACGCTGAAACTAGCACATGGCAAACGTACAATATGCTGATTCAATTCAAAGTGAGTATAAATTAGTATAAATGTTGAAAAAAAAGTATTCATACTGATTCAATAATCATCCGGAATAGGTTCGAAAATGCACAATATTCCAAACCACCAACTAGAATTGGATCTTGCACCTTCCTTTCCTGCAATTCTCCCCCAGAATCAACACACATGGAATGCCATGTGTGTTGGTGATACGTTTACTTGTTGTTTCTTAAATGTTGCCCCCCAAACATCAGCGGCCACCCAGGCCTGGCAACATCGCAAGAAGCTACTCACCTCGCCAAGATCAGCAAGGAACACGCAGACTCCATGCTGCAATGCAAAGAGAAGATTACTGACTGCAGTGGACTGCTGCCACACCAAATTCCTCTCAACTTTCTCAACTCCAATCTCAGATTAATCTTTGAAGTTTGTGGAGTTCGCGCTGAAGAATGGATGGCCTATTGCCAAAAACAAACCAAAAACCAAGGATTCTCCAGCCACAAGGCTCATTGAAAGCAGCTGCAGTAGGTTGCAACAGAAAGCCTTAGGGAAGATCCTTTGGATTCCTCCTCAGGTCGGAAAATCTACGCTCAGCTCATCCGAAGATGAAGCCCAGACTGATCACTGGGCAATTGCTGCAGGGAGGGTGACTTCGCCAATGCAAAATGAGCAGGGTTCAAAATCCAAAACGTCATCTGACTATATAGACGATAGGGGTTCCCATATTGAGACCTAACTCCCAACAAACCGAGTAATTTACCCCACAGTTCAGAACCCATCAGCAAGAGCTTTGGTCACTGCTCAAATGACGCTGAAGGCCACACCCCTGGCCCATCCCCGAAAAGATATGGGAAAAATACAACATGGTAGAAAATCCCATTAAATCCCATTGAATCCCCAGGTATTTCTGTCACCTCCTGCAGCTTCACGGAGTCACGCCCCCTCACAGGTGGGCAACACTGCCACCACTGTGCTCTTTGAGATCTTCACTGCTGGTCCTCGTCGAGTGGATCCACCAGGATTTTACTCAGCCATGTGGGATTGCACCAATAACATACTATTCCCTCCAGGAATCCAATATAAACACACATGAAAGTATGAAAGTCGAGGGACATCACCCTCCCAGGCTTGAAAATGATATGAAACGGGCCAACAAATTCTCATTGCTGATATACCCATGCTATCCCCATGCCATCCCCTTGGTTCGTTGCTTAAATCCTTTTCCCATCAGCGAAACCAAATTTTCGGGCACCTCCAAAGCCCACTTGGAAACCCCAGACACCTCCTGAGAAAACCAACAGTTGAACTTCGAGATACCCCTAAAACCTAAAACCCAATGGATTAGAAACCGCATTTTCCCCATTCTTTTACAAAAAATTCAGAGAAATCACGCTGAGGCCCGGTCTGGGCCGCAAGTAGAGGCCACGTGCGCCCGCCACCAGGCCAACCTTGAAGGTTGGATAACTAGAGATTGAGAGAAATATCAAAGCCAATCAATGGGCCAACGGTATCATCTTGGTCCAGAAAAAAAAGGAAACAGAATCACAAAATAAAACGATAGATACATCAGTGAGCAGAATTCCGTTCAAGTAGATGGAAGAGGATGGAAGTAACTCTTCAAACAAATGATGCATATGGGGGGTTCCATAAATGGAGGTATCCCCAAATGGATGGTTTATAATGGAAAATCCTATGAAAATGGATGATTTATGGAAACCCCCATATGTTGTTACTTCGCAACCATGCCTGAAGTGCCATCTGCTTCGACTCCTGAGGGTCCCGCTAATCCACACATCACCCAGTCGAGGGGTGGTGAGCCCGAGACGACACCTCCGGGAGCATCGCCCATGACCAAGCTGACTGTTTGGCCTTGCAGTTCAGGCGGTTCAGGCCATCTTGACATATCAAAGGGAGAGGTCTCCAAACCTTTCATATGACCGCAGCTCCGTAGCTCCCAGGGATATGCTTTCTACCCGGAACAAAATGTCAAGCCTGGTTGTCAAGAGATGCTTGCTGCTCACTTAGACGCAACAATATGATCTGTTTCAAGTCCCAAAGGGAAGCCGATTCAGCCCCTACCCGCACCTTGGTCCGCAGCCTCAACCCCCATAGAGCTAATGCCCTGAAGGAAGAGAGGTCCAAGGGGCAGAACCACTAAGCTGGTGAGCACCTCAAATGCAAACAGCATGGATTCAGCCTCTTCTCCGGTTAGCTGGGGAGTGGCATTGTGCCATGTGCCAAAGGCAGAAAACTCTACAAACAGGAAGGACCTGTCGGACCTGTGACCTGTAATCCCACATGCCATGATCCTTATAATCCTTGAGCAACGACCCCCACATGGTGCCCGCCCCACTTCCGCCGTGGCACGGTGCGAAGCGGCTGAGGCAGTTTGCTCAGCTGCAAGCCCAGTGGGGTCAAACTCAGGGCCGACTCCACACCGCACAGCAGGAACCTCGGACGCCAGGTCGGTGTCCACGGCGTCCACTGAGTCAAAATGGAGATCTCCCATAAATGGCAACTTTGATGTGGGGAGGAGGCCCGGAAACCAAGTGAAAAGGCAATTTTGATGGGGAAAAATTGATGAGTTCGTTCAGACATCCCAAGGTCTGGCAGAGTCTCAACGAAGCTGAGCTCTTGAGAAGTCCAAGTTGCTGGAGGAAAAAGAAGAGAAGACTCAGCCCTGGCACATAGGCATCCCGCTGATTCCAGTTCACTGCCAGCCACCTCAGATGCATTGCAGGTCCCAGTCTCCATGCTACATCATGGCCCTTCGGTCCCAGGTGATGTCCATCACCAATTGACGATTATCCCTGCAAAACCAAGGCGCATGTATTCATGGAAGAGTCCTGACATCATGAACGCCAGCAGCCCGGCTAAATGTGGACTTCGACCTGGTTTGTGCAGCCACAGGGCGGGAAAATGTCATGGACCAGCCGTCTTGAAGTACAGGCATTGAAAATGGATGAGAAACCTCAAAAAAAAACAACCAAAAAACATCAACAGAATCTCCCAACCACTCTAACCTCTCACCTTACCGCCTTACCGGAAGTCCCGGCACCTACGAGCGGCACAAAGAAGGTCCGCTTCATCAGTCGGTGCACCACCAAATTCCAACGTCGACCCCAGAAATCCCGCAGGGACGTGGACAGCAGCAGAGGCGTCTGCATGGAATCCACTGAGGCGATACCTGGGTGATTCAGCCGGAGCCGGGGAAACTTGGTGGTAAAGCAGAGTTGACTTGAAAAAAATATGGGAAATAGATGGAAATAGATTCAAACCAGGTGGTTTCTATGTTTTAGTTTGAAGATCCGACTTGGACTTTGGGAAGATCTTTGAATGATTTTGCAGCATTCTGTGATGTTCCCAGTTTCAGAAACGAACCTTAGGAAAGAACTTCAGTTGAGTCCAACCAAGTCAGTATACGTATATATGTTCTGTATGTTAGTTACATCTATATATATATATATATACTCATGTAGAGAGAGAGAGAGAGATAGATTAGATTAGATTAGATTAGATTAGATCAGATCAGATTAGATTAGATTGGATAAGATTAGACAAGATTAGACAAGATAGATAGATAGATGGATGGATGGATAGATAGATAGATGGATGGATGGATGGATAGATAGATAGATAGATAGATGGAGAGATAGATGGAGAGATAGATAGATAGATAGATAGAGAGATAGAGAGATAGAGAGATAGAGAGATAGAGAGATAGAGAGATAGAGAGATAGAGAGATAGAGAGATAGAGAGATAGAGAGATAGACAGATAGACAGACAGATAGACAGATAGACAGATAGACAGATAGACAGATAGACAGATAGACAGAGAGACAGAGAGACAGAGAGACAGACAGACAGACAGACAGACAGATAGGTAGATAGGTAGATAGGTAGATAGGTAGATAGGTAGATAGGTAGATAGGTAGATAGGTAGATAGGTAGATAGGTAGCTAGGTAGATAGATAGATAGATACATAGACAGATACATAGATAGATACATAGATAGATAGATACATAGATAGATACATAGATAGATACATAGATAGATACATAGATAGATACATAGATAGATACATAGATAGATACATAGATAGATACATAGATAGATACATAGATAGATAGATAGATAGATAGATAGATACATAGATAGATACATAGATAGATACATAGATAGATACATAGATGGATACATAGATGGATAGATAGACAGATAGACAGATAGACAGATAGACAGATAGACAGATAGATAGATAGACAGATAGACAGATAGACAGAGAGACAGATAGACAGACAGACAGACAGACAGATAGATAGATAGATCGATGGATCGATAGATAGGTAGGTAGATAGATACATAGATACATAGATACATAGATACATAGATACATAGATACATAGATACATAGAACCCCGGATTAATAAACCATGGTTTATTCATTAGGGGGTATTCCCCCAATAGTCATGATTTGACACTTAAATGGTACCTTCCCAATTAAACAGCCTAGGGGGTTATTAATCCAGGGTTGACATTACATAGATAGATAGATATTCCTTTTCATCTATTATGTATGTATATATAAACATATAATATATATATATATATTATCTGTTTGTATATATTTGTATATTATACAATTATACAGTACAAGTTACAAGTAATACGCACACGTCCCAGCCAAGTCGTCAAAACTGCAACCCCTTTAAGGTTGGCACCCAGAAAGGCTGGCAGCAGCCGGTGCATCAGCATGGCGGTGGCCAAAGTGCCTGGCTGTTTATCCATGGTTAGGAGGCCAGATGTTCTCATTGAAAATGGTGGTTTAATGAGTTTGACTCATTGGTGCTACCAATGGCGAAGTCCAACAAAGTCAAAAGGAACGAGACCCAAGTCAGAGAAAGCTAACTAGGAGACCATTGGCTCAGAGGCTCAGACACTTCTTGCTGTTGAGCTGCAATAAACATAGACTGTTAGCAAATACACCGCCGGAAGGGCCACTGGGAAGCCAAGGAGGGGCATCCTCAACTTCGATCGCAGGGTGGGGAAATCGGCAGAGGGGTTAAGGGAACACCAAACACGTCATGACAAGATCATGCCCAGTCCAGGAAGAAACACGAGCTTTGCTTCACTACTCTTTTTCCTTGTGGATCACGACAATCCACCTGAAATGGATTGTGGTCCCGAAAGAAAATCCCAAATGGGCATGGATTCAGTCAGCAGGGCACCCGTTTGGACCCACAAAAGTCAGTTCGCTTTTGGTATCAAAGAATCCATGTTGGGATGTTGATAACGTTGACCCATACCCTACTCTTAATAACATAGATATTGAAAATCCTTCATTTATAATTAGTTTATAGATACCTTCCTGCGAAAAACATGAGTTTTCCACATCTATCTTTGGTTTCTGCTGGGATCCATGTAAAGGGCTTGTATCTAACCTGTAGGGGACACCAGGACCAGGACTATCAACGAGTTTCGTGAGTGGATCCTGGCCGTCTAGGAAGGGAGCGAAATCCGTGGCTTTGCCCAGACTAAGGGCCTCGAAAGATAAAACGGAAAACGGCAAGCTGGCAGATACTCAACTAACAACAGGGAAATATCTTGAGAGTCCAAGGATGATGATGATGGCTGTTGTTGTCCTGTGCAGCTTCATCTCTTAAACCGCTCAATTTTGGGCGTATGAGCAAAACATGATTCGTGCTGACTTGTCCATCAAGTTGCAATGGTGCCAATCAGCATATGCTTTGCGATCCTCAGCAACAATTCCTCAGTGCAACTTGTTGACACTGGAAACTGAGGACGTCTCTTGACAGGACACCTTGCAACTGGCATGGAAAAATGCATTTCATTGAATCCTTCAGCTCAAGAATCTGCAAAATGAGGGATCTTAAAATCTCTTACCCCCCAAGAAAAAAACATGAATTCATCTGTTCATTCTGTTCATGATTGGTTTCTCGCCATTTCCCCCATGACTTCATGGCACCGTGGGGTTGTCGGGTCCCATCCCACAGCTCCAAGCGACTGAGACCAGGCCATCCTTGGACGCTTGCAGCTGCCCAGAGTCGAAGAGAACTTCCGCCGGGGAGGCGAAATAGATCACCTGCATGGCATGGAAAATATCACTGGGAATGAGGGGATCTATGGATATCTATGGATATATGGAGGAACTATTCTGGGAATGTGAGATCTATGGGTGACTGCATCCCAACAAGCAGAGTAGAAGAAAGTACCACAGCAGTCCGTGACCCAAAATCCTACACTACCAAATACTGCACCATCATCCACAACCATCCACAACCGAGAGCGGCCACAAATGGGACACGGCCAAGTTGCAAAGTTCTTGACGGATTTGTCGAAGCCTTTGGGTCCAGTGCCCAACATCAACTCCAGCCATCGAAAACCTCAGCAGAAATCACGTCGGTGATCACGACATCGGCAGCCGAAGTCCATTGGTCTCACTGCAACTGTGGCACCTGCCACGACACCGAAGAAGGACAAGGCAAAGTGCGCCAGCTTGGATCTCAGTGGTCCAAAGAAGTGAAGCACCAGAAGCCTCAGTGAGTCTCCCAAGCCGGTCAGGTGTCAACCCCGGGCAGAAAAAGGCCACTTCTTTGGAAGATCCCGACTTGATGCTTTGGATTTTCCCTTGTTAATGGGAGATTGGGATATTGCTCGGGTTTCAAACCTCCAACTAACTATAACGATATCCAAATATCTCCAGACCAAGCATCTCCAGAGATTGGCTGGCCCTTCTATTTTGTGAGATGTTGGGTCCATTCCATACCTTTCCAAGCATGCCCTGCTTCCACCAAGCGTCGGTCCGATGATCATTGGCAAACCGCTCAAGCCCAGAACACACAAGCGCCTGTCGGAGAAGCTGACAGCATGGGTAGAACCACGGTGATAACCACGGTGATAACATAAGGTGGCGTGCGAAAATCACTACAAGTACGGTTAGGAAACACATCCAAATTTTGTTTTGATGCAACAGGACCACTGGATACCAATGGAATATATATTTCTGAAGCTAAATTTGACTCACTGGAATCACGACATCAAAACCCCATAGCTCCACCCCCCGGCGCACATGCTGGGCCGTTGCCGCAGCAGGCAGTGCAGGGCATACCCCAGGAAGCCCATCAGAATCAGCACAGCCAAACCAACGAAGGAGATGAATTTCACTTCACCTCAAGGAGATCAACCGCCATGGGAGGATGCCCAGTGTCCACTGGACACATCACGCGGGGGAATCGAAGTGAAACATAGAGAGACTGTAGATGTTTGTTTAGGAGTAAAACATAGTAAAAACCGTTCACAGCTTTATGCGAAAGTTTGAAAAGTTGGAAGGGCTGACCGAAATTTTTGGGTTGCCACAACTTGCCATGTTAGCATTCTCCTGCCAGTATTCATGGCGGAGGTGTCTATAAAAATGCTGCGACTTGTCACCATCATTTCAATATCTACTTTTTCACAGTGCACCAAGCAAATCTGCCCGTCGAACTCTGCAGCTGTGGTGCTGTCAGCTGTCAGATCCTTGGGTAACTTGGGTATCCACTTTGGGATCACAAATTGCAGGATGTTCAGATGGATGTCTGGTGCTCAGTTCTTCGGGTGGCCAGGGTGTTCAGATCTGCTGAGGGATGTTGAGGGTTCAGTCCTCCAAATGAGGAATGATTCGGAAGCATGATAACTTTCAGCGTTTGCTAGTTTTTGCAGGACTTCCGTAACAATGAACATATTGGGGTTACAACCCTCCTCCTGACCCCATTCATCTGGACAAGGCACGGGCTTCGAAAAAGCTAGGTGGAAAGCCATGGCTGGAAAATGTTAGTGACTTCTGGTGTGTTTCCAGCTAAAAGGATCAGATTTTCCAAGTCTATCTTATGGATGATATGAGTTGGGGTCCTTGCAACTATGACGCCCGATATCTAACACAAAAAAAAGCAGCTCAGCGGTGCATTTTGAACAATAGGGACATCAAGGCTATAGGACTTGGACTTCAAGAGCATCTCATCCAAGTCTGGCAAAAGCTTCAGGGGTAAAGGCCTTCTTTTTACTATACTCTTGTGTTTGAAGAGGTGATGATTTGGAAGATGGCTTGCGATTTTCACTCTGCACCTTGACATGTGATACTTCACATCTCAAAGGCTCTGCACCATATGGCTGCAGAAGTGCAGGAAAACATTCAACTGCCGTATATGCCTGAGGACGTCGTTGCAGCATCTGAGTCAAAACAAACGTGAAAACGGCAGTTCTTCATAATCTTCGCTCCAACAATTCAATGTGTCTTGAGCTTCTCTCGGGTCTGGACTCTCATAGAAACTCTATTGCAGCCACCTGGCAAAGGCAAAACAGGTTGGAATGAAGAAAAACAGGTTAAACCTCGAGGCCAAAAAGCGACCTTTTGCAAGAGAAATCACATTCTTGGATTCTTGGACCCTACTTTCGATCCACAGTTCAATTAATTGGCATACTATCAACTACAATGTGCACATGCCGCGATCCACGGGCTTTATTGGAATTTCATACCCATCTTTGAAATGAGATGAACGATGTGCATCTCAGAAGATGGTGGACATGGCCATTCTCAGGAGTGCTCCAGGAATGTTCTCAACACAAGAGACAATGAATCAGTAAGTCAACAGTGTCCTGAAAAGATAAACAATCCATCGATCAGACCAGGCCTGGAAATAAAACCTCGTGTCACTAGACGTGCCATACCCCTCCAAGAGCCAACAACACATTAAGGACACATCTGACACATGACAAATCAACAAACTCCACGTTTTGGCTGCTCAGTGGGTGCAAGTTGTGGCATTGTCCTAGCATCAATCACCTGAAATGAACCATGTGCTGACACCAGCCCAGACAGAATCTGCGCCCGCATCACAGCTCATGATATCTCAAGCCACCGAACTAGGACTGCAAATATTGATCTTCAACGCATCACTACAGCCATCTCTCAGCAAAAGTGGTGGTACTTTGACTGACTTCAGGAAAGCAGAAAGTTGATCTTCAACGCATCACTACAGCCATCTCTCAGCAAAAGTGGTGGTAACTGACTTCAAAAAAAGCACGCCAATCTGGAAAAAAAAACTCCTATCACTATGCGACGTGCCAAACCCCTCCAAGAGCCAACAACACATTAAGGACACATCTGATACATGACAAATCAACAAACTCCACGTTTTGGCTGCTCAGTGGGTGCAAGTTGTGGCATTGTCCTAGCATCAATCACCTGAAATGAACCATGTGCTGACACCAGCCCAGACAGAATCTGCGCCCGCATCACAGCTCATGATATCTCAAGCCACCGAACTAGGACTGCAAATATTGATCTTCAACGCATCACTACAGCCATCTCTCAGCAAAAGTGGTGGTACTTTGACTGACTTCACAAAAAAGCAGAAAGTCCGCCAATTCTGGAAAAAAAAACACGTCCTATCACTATGCGACGTGCCAAACCCCTCCAAGAGCCAACAACACATTAAGGACACATCTGATACATGACAAATCAACAAACTCCACGTTTTGGCTGCTCAGTGGGTGCAAGTTGTGGCATTGTCCTAGCATCAATCACCTGAAATGAACCATGTGCTGACACCAGCCCAGACAGAATCTGCGCCCGCATCACAGCTCATGATATCTCAAGCCACCGAACTAGGACTGCAAATATTGATCTTCAACGCATCACTACAGCCATCTCTCAGCAAAAGTGGTGGTACTTTGACTGACTTCACAAAAAAGCAGAAAGCCCGCCAATTCTGGAAAAAAAACACGTCCTATCACTATGCGACGTGCCAAACCCCTCCAAGAGCCAACAACACATTAAGGACACATCTGATACATGACAAATCAACAAACTCCACGTTTTGGCTGCTCAGTGGGTGCAAGTTGTGGCATTGTCCTAGCATCAATCACCTGAAATGAACCATGTGCTGACACCAGCCCAGACAGAATCTGCGCCCGCATCACAGCTCATGATATCTCAAGCCACCGAACTAGGACTGCAAATATTGATCTTCAACGCATCACTACAGCCATCTCTCAGCAAAAGTGGTGGTACTTTGACTGACTTCACAAAAAAGCAGAAAGCCCGCCAATTCTGGAAAAAAAACACGTCCTATCACTATGCGACGTGCCAAACCCATCCAAGAGCCAACAACACATTAAGGACACATCTGATACATGACAAATCAACAAACTCCACGTTTTGGCTGCTCAGTGGGTGCAAGTTGTGGCATTGTCCTAGCATCAATCACCTGAAATGAACCATGTGCTGACACCAGCCCAGACAGAATCTGCGCCCGCATCACAGCTCATGATATCTCAAGCCACCGAACTAGGACTGCAAATATTGATCTTCAACGCATCACTACAGCCATCTCTCAGCAAAAGTGGTGGTACTTTGACTGACTTCACAAAAAAGCAGAAAGTCCGCCAATTCTGGAAAAAAAAAAACACGTCCTATCACTATGCGACGTGCCAAACCCCTCCAAGAGCCAACAACACATTAAGGACACATCTGATACATGACAAATCAACAAACTCCACGTTTTGGCTGCTCAGTGGGTGCAAGTTGTGGCATTGTCCTAGCATCAATCACCTGAAATGAACCATGTGCTTACACCAGCCCAGACAGAATCTGCGCCCGCATCACAGCTCATGATATCTCAAGCCACCGAACTAGGACTGCAAATATTGATCTTCAACGCATCACTACAGCCATCTCTCAGCAAAAGTGGTGGTACTTTGACTGACTTCACAAAAAAGCAGAAAGCCCGCCAATTCTGGGGAAAAAAAACACGTCCTATCACTATGCGACGTGCCATACCCCTCCAAGAGCCAACAACACATTAAGGACACATCTGATACATGACAAATCAACAAACTCCACGTTTTGGCTGCTCAGTGGGTGCAAGTTGTGGCATTGTCCTAGCATCAATCACCTGAAATGAACCATGTGCTGACACCAGCCCAGACAGAATCTGCGCCCGCATCACAGCTCATGATATCTCAAGCCACCGAACTAGGACTGCAAATATTGATCTTCAACGCATCACTACAGCCATCTCTCAGCAAAAGTGGTGGTGCTTAAACACTCTGCTGACATCCAGGATTTTCATGCGTTAAACCTGAACTAAGCTTTTTCCAAAACAACAATAGATTGATTGATGCACAGATCTCATGCAGCTCAAACCAACGCATTTCCCATTGCATGGAGGGAGGTTGTTAAGTTGATTGCACTGAAGCACCAGGCCGACCATCCCGGAACCAAACCTGCTTTGCTCAAGTCCAGTTGCGCTTTTCAGGACCTGTTCGGCCAGATGTGTCAGAAGTCCAGCCCAGAGCGGACTGGGTTTTCATGCCTAAAGGACAAAACAACCGAATATGGCCATGACCTCCACTGCATTGTTGAGGTTTCAATTTCCGGATTTGAATGGACAAAACTGTCAGGCACTAGATGCTGCAAGGCCACAAAGGCTTGGGGATGCTGGGAGGTTGCTGCAGCTCAATGTCAGCTGATGCATGCCGCCTTTTTCACAATCTGGCAAATTTGGATTAAGCTGGAATATGTACAAGTTTTCTCAGCAGAGACCAGGGCATCAAAAAAAATACCAGCAAATTGTCCCATCTCCAAGGGTAAGTAGCTAAGTAGCCTCTATAAAATCACTTTGAGTTTGCTTACTTACCCTGCTTATTTACAGCATCATAGATCTGGAGGTACATCAGCACCTCTTCTTCACTTTCGAAGACACTGTGATTTAAGCCAGTTTCATGAAACGCATCTGCAGAAGCTCCATGGTAGAAAGCTTCAGTGATGTCCACCCTCTTTCCATGACCAAGGCTCATGACCTTTCCCGTATTCTGGGAGAAAGGTACCCTCTTCAACATGTCCACTTTGTCCGCTGGAAGAAGGAATGCAAAAACGTAGTCTGCTCTGTCCAACATGTCCTTCCCTCTTCCGTTGAAATGACCGCCATACATGTTGTGAAGAATGGTGTAAATCGGTGATGAAGGATGCGCCGAAGTTCCACGAACACCTCTCATCACCTGTGCCTGTAGACCGCCATACATGTTGTGAAGAATGGTGTAAATCGGTGATGAAGGATGCGCCACCTGTGCCAAAGTTTTCAAAGTGGTGAGGTCCTCTGGCAAAATGTATCCATTCGCAAGGATGCGCTCATAGCCCTCCTTGTTTGTGTAGTGATAGACCAACACCTTTTTCCCTCTGTTCTTCAACACATCAGCTGCTATTGTTGCTTTCCCAAAGTAGAGAGCATCGTCAACTTTCATCTTGTCTCCACCGCCAATGCACAAGACCGATCTTCTGCCGGCATTGTCTATGAATTCCACTGATGAAATGTCCAAATCAAAAGCAAACACGTAGTCTGCTCTGTCCATCCTGGCTTCCCCTCGGCCTTGGATGCCACCATCCATGTCATAGTTGTTGTGCAGAATAGCGTAAAAGGGGACGGATGGGTCGAGCTCTGTTGCGTAGACGCTGCTTCCGTAGGATGCGTCACCCTGCCTGATGTCTGATGGCTGGATGCATCCACTCTCAAGAATGCCTTCATAGCCTGCCTTGTTGGTGTAGTGATAGACCCTCACCTTCCCACGACGCGGTGTCTCAAAAAGAAACAGTGGCAGTGGCTGTATCAATGAACATAGGGATGTGGGCAACAACTTGGCAAGCCTAACTGCGAACGCCACGGCCACCACCACCTTGAGGGTTCTGGTTCCTGAGCGCTGTCGGGATGCCATCACAGGTGTAGCTCGAGTCGAGCCGCGGAAAACAACACGAGTGACGCGAACAAGTGCCCAAGCTGAAGCCAAGAAAAGGCGACAGATTCGGTCATAGTGGAACTGAGCAATCAATGAATGCATCAGTGCACTAAGTGGGTTTCCTGTGTTCAAGCTTCTTCCATTCTTCCATACAAAGTCTGCAGAAGGAAAACTGTCCCTGTGAACATATGTGCTTGCTGTACTTGTGCGGCTGCCACAAACAGCAAAGCATCCCACGGCCTTGAAACAGCTCTCCTTCAGAATGCCAGAGTCCTCACCGTCTCACCGTCTCCGGCAGAGGGGGGCAGAGTTCGATTTCAGTGGGATGGCCACTCGTTTCCTCTATTTTTCAAGGATAATCATGTCATGATAAGAAGAGGGGAAGGACATAATGTGCCAAAGACTTGCGATCACAATTCAACGCTTTGACTTGGGATCACCCCTAGTACAACAAGCAACAATTCTTGGCTCTACCACAGTCCCGCGATGCATCTCTGTCACTATCCTCGTCCAGCTCATTCTGCTGGCCATTCGAGCTCGAGCTCCTGGATTTGCATTGGCTAGGTAGCTTTGTCTTCCAATTGTGCTTTGACTCATTTGTTTGGACCTTTTTGTGATCGGATACTCGAGTCCTCCGATATGGAGACAAACTCTGACATCACTGGACCATGTCCTGTGGCTAATATTGGCTAATGTCATGTGTTAATCTCACAGTTCTTTCCAAACAGCATCTGTTTCACTCGACCACTTCTGGGCACCAATGGACACACCAAGGTTTCACTGCCACGCAGTAGCGCTTCACTGAGCGTTCACCTTTAAATTGTCCAGTTCACCTGGAAAATTAAAACTTCTAAGGTCAACTGGTCAACTAATCAACTAGTCAACTAGTCAATATGAGCTGCTAACAATCTCATTTCTGACGTCGTTCCCCTATTGGGATGGAATCGCTAGGTTGGCTAGGTGCTGTATCACTGATGTCCATCCCATATTGCCAATATTGCTATCAACCAATGATATTGACTCTATTGACAGCTCACATCGCAAGACCACGCAGCACTTGCTGTCTGATCATCTTAGGAAACTGAGGGCGCGGGAGACGTCCGCCCTTCTCTCAAAGCCCTCTGGACTCGCTTCATGATCTCGTCCTGAAGATTGTCCTTAGCTGCAGCGGCTCAAACAGGTTTAGACTTCCCTACAAATGCCAATGGCCTATCCACGGAAAACATGGTGCAGCAATTTCTTTAGGAGCACTGGGCCTGGGTATGTGTAGCCCCTGGTCCTATCAAAAAAAGGAGATGCTTCATGTTCCGAATGGCCAGTGTTGGCGGCTGTTGGGTATTCTGTCGATCTTCAGATTCATGTGATTCCATCAGCGTGAAGGTCAGGGGCTCTCAATCGGATAACTAATGCGCACGTCTCTGCCGCTTTTGTCGATGATCTGCAATGCAAGATTCAAGCCAATGCTGCACAAATCTGCATACGAAGCAAGTCCCAAATCTCCACAAAGGGGCAAGTATACATTAACTCTGCATTGAATTCTGCATCTCATGAAACTCTCAATTTCACGATCAACCTGAAACCAACTCAGAACATATTAATTTATATTAATTTCATGAAGAGTTTAAAGAACCGTTATAACATGTTATAACCCTTTCAAATGCTGTTTCTGTTTGCTGTTTCCCACTGCCATGGCTCCAGTTTCGCATCCAGTCGCTCCAAGGCTTTTTTAACGACTTCCACCTGGCTCCAGGGCTCGGCGGCATCCGACTCGCTGGGCTCGCAGGGCTCGCAGATCCAGAGGTACCTTCAGGGCGCGGCCCTGCTCCAGGTTGCTGGTTATGGGGGGTCACACTTGGGAAGTGATGGAACTGAAAAATGAACCAAAATTTATGGGTTCATGTGGTTTTGAGCTTTTGATCCCTAGTACATGTCAATATATCATAGATATTTGATGATATTTGTAAAAAAAATAGGGATGGCATTTGTAGCTAGTGTCACAAGTCTTCGCGCCAATTCCCAGGGTGTTTGCCTTATTCTGGCATTGTATTTGTGACAGCATCGCCGAAAACCGGACCTCCTACCACCATCATGCTCGCTCCATGGATAGTTCTTGCCCTTGCACTGAATGGAAGCCATGAAGAGTACCACTTGCGAAACAATCAAGGCTGCCAACTGCCAAAATCCTGGCATTGGGCTGCCGTAGAAAAGGACCCAAAGCTGTAGTGCTAAAGTCAAAGCGGTGGCTCCGAAGGCCAGCAGCGCTGCAGCTCGTGATGTGAGCAAATTGCAGGGGAGCAAACTGATACGCGTGAGATAGTTGAGGCAGGAATGCGCTCGTACCCGTTCAAACATCACGTCCCCTTGCTCCTTCTCTGAAGCGTACTGTTCACTGATCACTCCGATGAAAATGTTCATCACAAATATGGAGAAAAAGAGAACGCCTCCATAGAGCAACATCAATTCAAGGTAGTCATCTGGCGGTTGCTCCGGCAACCCTTGCGTTATCAGCGTGGTAAAGCTGTACCAAAAAGTGTGCGGCCACAAGTGCTCAGGGGTCACTTGAACCGCACACATGGCGTGAGAAAAAGCACAAAATCCCAGGACAGTGAAACTCATGGCCGGAAGCAATCCATGAGCCAACTTTTTCAGGGGCAACAATGCCAGACCAATTTGCCTGGACAACGAGACGCCTTCAAGCAATCGCATCCTTGGCACGTCAAGTTCTAGGTTAAAAAACACCCCAGTACCAACAATAGTAATAAGTCTTTGGGGCAGGGTAGGGGGAAAAAAGTACATACAAACATAATTATACAGAATAAGCATCCAATAAATCAGAATGATCAAACATTGAAGCCAGCGCGACTGGTGCTGCCACAACAGCAGAATCGGCAGGAAGCTTCGAATCAGGTCCCAAAGATTGCCCAAACGACAGTACGAAGCTGGGTCAGTACGACAGCACACCACAAACTGCACCGCCTCCAGAAAGCCATCCACGATACCTTGAGATTACACACATCTCACCATGGATAGTGGGGCCAGTTGACACTGAAAAATCCTGTGTATATATGTATATATATATATAAACATCCATAAAGATTAATGAAGGATGGAATTAAAACGGTTCTGTTCGACATGTGCACTGCTCCTCGCCACCACAATGAATTTGGAGTGAACTTAGAATCCCTCTGCACCCTAAGTTTTGACAGTTTTCGAGATAGGTTCCTTCTTTTCCCGTGATTGAAAGTTCCATTAAACTCATGTCTTGAAGGTAACCAAACTAAAAGAACAAAATCAACATTCATGTGATCCTCATCCTTGGGTCCATGAATGTCCTGCAAAGTGCGAAACAAAAGGAAATAAATATATTGGCATGTCTGAGCAAACTCCATTCACGCCCATCTTGACATGATCCAAAGCCAGGCAGTTCGTTCAACACCACAAGTAATCACTAAGTTCACGTTATACCGTTATAACAAGCCCAAAAAAAGAACTGGGGCCCACCGGGCCCGCCTTTCGCAACGATCCAATCTGCAACAATTCCCTGGCCGTTCGCCAAGCTGGGTGTTAAGGCCACAAAGGCCTGGTCAGCCCTCAGTGAGATGAGATCGGTGGAAGTGTCAACATCATTTTGAAACTCGTTTAAAACAAAAACAGCACAGGTTGTAAATGCCTAATCAAGAGTTGGATTCTTGACTTTTGCAACCTGGATCATAGATGATCATAGTGGATCATCTTCGATCTCGCCTTTACTACAAACTTAAAAGGGCAAATCAGCCAACAGACCAAGAGGGAACTATAGGGAACTTGAATGGAAAGCGATGAAAAGGTGTAAAGCAAACAAACATAAACAAACCAGCTCAAGCTTCTCTACTGAAGCCTCATGAGCCATCAGGGTCTCGATGACCAACAAGCATAGACCCCATGTTGAAATCACCGTCTGGACGATATCAACCCACATGGAGCCGTACCAAAAAGTGAACCAAACTGCACCGCGCACGGGTGTGCATTTAAAAAGGAACAGGGCCTGTTGGTGTGTTGTACGGGCATCCAGCACAGCAGAGAAAAAACTCGGAGAAATGATGTCAGGAATGTGACACACTTGAATCGTGGCGTCATTCATCGGCTTGTCTCGGACATCTGTTAAATCTCTATGCCACTCCGGTGCCATCCGGCAGGAGTCATCATAGCTCCATTTCAACTCCGGAGTGTAGAAACATAGCAATGGCCGTATGTGAAATGGAACCCTCCGCTGAAACGCAAAGCTGACCCTGGCAGGCAAGGGATGTCTACCATAGCTCTCAACCACAGGTTCAGCCGTGGCCGCCTCCAAGACTGAGGCAGCCGCCTGTGGGAATTCATTCAGTAGGGTGGCCACGTCCTCAACGGTCATGCTACCCAGTTGCTCGGTGAGGGTCTCCTTGCTCCAAAGGTTCTGCAGGCGCTGAGCGAAGCAGGGAATGCACTCGGGTGCTTGATGGATGAAGGTCTTGAAATTCTGCATGTTGGGCTCTGCCGCTCTGGCCAAAGCTGCTGTTTTCATTTTGCTCCACCTTTGGCGTGACATGGGATGACGTGGGGGGAGAAATCGAAGGCATCAAAAAAGCAACGGAGAGAATTATTCACAGTTGAATTCAAATCAAAGAAACTTGAGAGATCTAAAACGCACTAGATTTCAGGTGCCTTCATAAAATCCAAGCCGCTTGATGCCAACCTCTAGTGGAGTGGGTGTGCGCTGATCATCCTGAAAGTCAATATCTTGTTCATCATCCAAGTTCCAGGGACACTGTTCTTGAAGAGATTTCTTCAGCTGATTCACATGCTTGGCCACCGCTTGGATGGTTGCCTCATTGCCCGTTTGGAAAGCCACATGAAGAGGCGTCCAATTCTGATGATAATCGTTCACTGACATGATATCAGCTTTCTTTTCACAAAGGAAATCAATCATCTCTTCGGACCCACCAAAGCCTTCCCTGTGAACGGCCACATGCAACACATCAGACATCTTCTGGCCGTCACGCATCAGATGACTTTCAAGGCTGGCGTTCTTTTGAAGCAGCACATTCACCACAGCGATGTGCCCACGGCTGGCGGCCAGGTGAATGGGCTGGCCATATGTGTCTTGGTAGTGGAATGCCTCAAAGACATCCGCTCCTTGAGAAAGTTGCTGAAACACCTCCTGCTCATCACCATTCAAAACCTCCAGATGGAGTTGGCTTCCATAGCAAACCTGGTTGTTCCACATAAATGTTACCTGGGTGAGCAAGCAGTGGCGGCCCGTCAGCCTCAACATGGGGGAAGTATCACCTGCAGCTGCACAGGTCTCTTTGACGCTGCAAGGCCTAGATCGAAGCGGTGCTCGCAACAGAGTAGGTGAAAGCAAACTTTCATCGTGGCTGGGGTCAGGACCAGGTGGACATGGCGTGAAGATCGCTCGAGGGCGCCGGGCAAAAGCCATTTTTGCAACTCTTGATGTGAGACTGCTGAAATTCAAGGTGGAACTGCCAGCAACTGCAGATTTTGCAAAACGTTCAGCAATTGGATATATTGTGCGATATCTTGTAGTATCCTCATGGCACACAGGAGCACCTAGGAATCTCAAAAATAATTCCATTTTAATCCAGGATCAAACTAGTCTTTAAAATTTCCCAATTCTAGATCCAAAATGTCCAATCCCTCCGTGGTTTCCTCCTGGGATGAAGCTGTCAGCGTAGTTTGAATACACGGCCTCGGCAGAGGTGACAGGGAAGACCTTTGAATTGCACTGTATGAAGGAAATATGGGGCTGCATCCAGCTGACACCTCAGGGCCCAACTCTCCAAATGCCATTTTCATTTGCTTGCAGTCCTTCTCAAAACAAACTGTGTATGTTAATTTTGAAACAGGATTCAAACGGCCAAATTACGCCAAGCCGGACCATGTTTTTTGACTAAACGGCTTTTAACCCAATGAACAACACCTCAACAGCGGAACAGCAAACCGACAGTGAAGCACCCCCAAAATCCAGCGGTTGATCATCAGCCTTTATATCCTTTATTGTACCTCCAGTTTTGGGGGAACCCAGAAAGTACAACAAAATACAACAAATCAAGTTGGGACGGTTGGGGCATTGGATGCGTTTGTTTCGCACAGTATACAACTGGGGGAACTGATGAATTCGTTTAGGTTAACAAATGCAACACTCAAGTGTCAGTGGATGTACCTGTCATGTCACATGTCACATTGTATTTTTTGTTGGCATGACCTGTTTGTTTAGGCTCAAATTTCCCATGATGATGGAACCGTGAAACAAACCATCTAAATCCGTTTTTGACGCCATAAATTTGTCCATTCAACATTTTCAAAATTGTGGGAACTCAAATGTGCCAAGTTCCAACCGTTTTGGATTGAACCAGGACACAAAAACATAAGATCCAAAGCAGTTGCTTCCCACCATGCCATGAACCCCACCGGCAACTCTCACGGGTTTTGTTCTGCCGGAAATTTGGTTGAAAAACTATGCCGCTCAAATGAAACATGGACAATCAAGACTCCCCCTTGGATAGTGCCCCCGATAAACCTGTCCCAATCCCAATGTTTCCATTCGAACAGGTGGTTTGGGTTCTACGCAGACTGGAAGGAAATTAATGCAGTGGATTTTGTTTGCATTTTCCATTGCCAAAATACAATATACAGTTCACATGGGTGTGCATTTCCATGTTTGTGTTTGACAGTTGCATTTGAACCTACGCTGCCATTGTTGCGGTGGTGCAGCAATTGAACCAGTAGCAGTGGCAAAAAGGGGTTGCGCCCGGCACAGCATTCATGATGTGAATGTTTCATGTGTTTTGATTTTTTGTTGAAAAAAAATTGTCCACTTCACAAAAAATATACTGACGATTGAAGCATTTTTGCCCCATGAGTTGGTTCACGTTTCCATCAGCAAATTGTTTCGCCCAAAAATGAATGTTGTAAGTTGTAAATCCACAACTGTCCCATCAAATTCATTAAGGATCTGAGCATGGCATGAATTGGTTTTAGCCAGCAAACGTCTCAACAACTGGACATCAGAAGCGCGTGAAAGTGTCGATTTCCATTTGATTGTTTGTTTGAATACTTGATCAATAAATCCCATCAAATCCAGCTAAAAACAAAAATGAGGTTGACACCAATGAATCCCAGAACAACGCGGAACTGATGGGCTGACATTCGCAAACATCGCGAGTTATTTTTTTGTTGTTGAATTTGACGAACATGAAATCTGCGAAGCAACGGGCAAAATTCAGTGCTGTCCGTTTTGTGCCTTAAAGGGCCGCGACATGTATGAGTCTCACATGATGTTCATGCCGCTCCAAAGTGGCAATTTGCAGCTGAATTCTTCTAGATTTGTGCAGTGTCATCCATGCAACTTTGGGACATGAGTAGGATTCACAATTTTTTGCACTCCTCTTTTGGATGTTGAGTGCTCACTCTATATCCAACACTCAAACGCATTTTCCAGCCCTATTCCCTAGGAAAGCATTCATCCTCTCACGTTGCATATCATCCCATCAATGAACTCATGTTTTCAACATAGGTTCTGAATCTCTCCATCCCTTCATTTGAGCCACGTTTCGGGTGCGTCCGGAAAGTCGTTGAAAAACACTTCGAATATCTCTCACCACTCTCACTGACAAGCCTTCTGGGTCATCACAAGCTGTTGCATAAAGCAGGACTGAAATTGCTATCAATATTTGCGAAGCATCTATCCAACGCCCATTCGCTAATGCCACATTCTGATCTCTTCTCATGTTTTCCAGCAGGGCCTCAGCTCGATCGAGGGAAGCATGAGAATCCGGTTCTATCACTGCATCGTGCGTTGGACGTTCTTCTTCTGTTTCTTCTCCATTGTCCATTGGGTCTGAGGTTTGTGCATCTGTAGTTTCTGCTCTGTTACCTAAGTTCCAAATCACCAGATTGGCACGTTCTTGCGTGAACAAAGTATTTCTCACGAAACCACCCAATTCCATCAGTCCATATCTCACGCAATCAATTGCTTCATCAATGCGGCCATGTGTTTCTATGGTTGCCAAGTTTGCCGCTTGTGCATCCATGGAGGTTTTTATGTTTTTACATCGAACATCCATTGCATCCAAACGATTTCCCAAGTTTCCTGCATACTCATGATGGTCTGCAATCTGCTCTTGTACTGACTGAAGTTCGGATTCCAAACACCGCATTTCCCTTTCAAAACCTTGTACCATTGCCCGCAATTTTCTCCAACAAACTGCAAGCACCATGAAAAAGCAAATGCAGAAAAACGCGCATGCCATCACAAAACGAATACTGCTCTTTGAAACCATTTCAGCATCACCGCGTTGTTGTGCCATAGCACCAGTAGGCCCAAGCCCCTCAGAAATGCCCATTGCCAAACCCATTTTCAAGATTGCTTTTGCAACCTTTTTCAGCTGCTGTCCAATCAGTTTTTCGTTCACCACAGCAAATTCCCGCTCACCAACTGTAGAAAAATCTGCACCATGCACCAAACCACACTCGTGTAGAAGGTAAAAGAGGCATTGTCGACTCAAGGTCTTTGTTCCAATATCAGCTATATACATTGTAAACTGTGGATACTGGCTGCAGTGAAAATGATCCATCTGCTGTCTTTTCCTGGATCCATAACTGTGAAATAGCAACGCACCGCTCAAACCCTATTTTCCTTGCTGTTCTTGAGCCACTTGTTCGGCCCATGAATGCACATTTGTGCGTGTCATCCTTGTGCAGAGACTGGCCATGCTAATCTTCTCTGTATCAGTTTAGATTCCTAGAATCATGCATGAGTGCCATGAATAAAATCTGACACCCCACCTTGGAGAATTTTTTTCAAAATTTCTCCACACGTCCTACCATGCAATTCTGGCACCATACCATGCCATCTGTGCTATCAATTCTACCTTGAATTATTTCTAGGAAGAAAATCTACTGGCCGTCTCTCACCATTTCATCCATTTGACTGTGGCAAACAGCATAACGTCTCGTGCACTGATTGCCATTTCTCTCTAAGCAATATCCATGAGGTTCTGAACTTCTGCCATAGCACGTGTGTACTCTGCTGCTTCTGCCCAGTTTCCTTGGGTTTCAGCTTGTTCACGTCTCTGTTCCAGTGATTGCATTGCTCTCCTCAAACGTAGTTGATTGGCATCTGAAAATGCCACCATGCGCTGATGGTTGTCACCATCCATTCCACCAAAATGCACTTCAGCCCACTCATCTGGATCGCTCACCTCATCCTGCTCTGAGTTCTGATAGCGATGTCTGCGCTGAGCAGCTGTTTCGTCCACTTCCATTTCATCTCCAATTCGGTCATACTGCTCGTCATTCTCAGTCTCACCAATCGTTTGATCAGCATGCACACCATTCAAACGCACATGCTGCAGAGCAACTTCTGCAATATCCTGGCCTGCAAAAGGTTCATTCTCCTGGTTGACAACCGGTTCTGCTTCCATCTCCATTGGCGGTTGTGGTGATTCCAAAAGTGCTGCTGCTCCCACGGCATTCGCTCCACCAGTCAGATACTCATCTATTCCATCATACAATGTTTCAATGTCCACCATCATGTCGCCTGACTGGCCAGCTTCTTGATACCTTGCATGGAGATACAAAATCTCCTGTCTCAGAAGCCACCACGCACTCCACACCACAGGCTTGATAAGCCATGTCCACCTGAAACCAATCATCCAGGAAGCGTTTCGAAGCGCAAAACTTCGAAGAAACCCATAGTGCTGCCAAACCAGAAGTCCACCGCAGAGATAAACCAAAGCCACCACCAACATAGTTGTGCCTGCCACCTGCACCATGCAAAATAGAACCCATGAAATCAATTTGGAACATGCTTCAGCTGTTGACCACATTGTGGAAGACGTCCATTCTGCCATCGACCACCACACCAGCTGCACATTCACATTGGTTCCACCTGCAAGCGGGTCAGGACCTTTTGAACATGCTTTCAACTGCATGCACATCCCAATGGTGGCCCCAGTCAACTGAACTAGTCTAATGACCTGTTCCTTTGTCATTCGATTCACCTTTCTGATTCTCCTCAATGCATTGTCATCATTTCGTTCTCCATCACCAAACACATACAAGTTGATAAGTCTTCCCAGAAATCGTCGGCGTTCGCCGCTGAGTCGTTTCGTGTTCAAATATCCAGGGTTCAACTTCGTGTTGATCTTGAAAATGGAAAACACACCAGTCCTCAGCAAGTGCTGTAAAAAGAACTGCTTGATCTGAATGTGTTTCAACCTCCCTGTACCAGTTCTGCGCACCAATGCAAGG